CAGCGCAGATGAGCGTTCGTTCGCACTGATCGCCCGTATGGGACTTTTGCGACAGTGCCCGACCCGGGGCTGATGTCGGCGTGAAGTTCAACGTACAACATCAATGCTTCTATGAAGCGGTAGCACACTGTGGGGTACTCGCTCATCTTAAACCTCATACCCGCCGCAACTTTTCTAGGATATACACACCCGGCTGCTAAGCTAGAACACGGCGAGATGGACGGTTCGTTCAAACGTCAACACGATCACGAGAGATTATCACCATCGCATACACGACCGCATCATCGCAACTCAAGTAGCTTCTAAGCGCCCGGGGCAGGATCCCTGCTAGATATTAAAGGTGGCGTATATGAGCGACATGGTAAGTATGGATTGAACGACTCTACAGGCATATGCGTAATAACAGAGCGAGAGATAGCAAGACGTTAAACCGAAATACATTCTGAGTTGCTACACGATCGCGATACAGTACTTGAAAGGATAGATAGAACGAGACACGTAGACATAGCCAGTTGCAAGGGATATGCTCGATCGGGGAAGCATATGCTATTCAGGTGGGGAGGGGAGGGGTGGCGAGGGAGACGTCTTTCTTCGTTTGGGCGTTGAACCTGTTTTGTTGTCGGGACGTTTATTCTCGAAAGGTGGTGAGCGCCGAGATGCAGATCGAGGCGACTGCGGGACATCGGATTCGCTATCCTCACTATCGCTCTCGAAGGTCCGCTTGAGCTTGAAACCCGAAAGACGGGGCGGAGGCCCGGTAACCTTCGCGGGACCTTCAGGAGGGGGTTCTGGTAGTCTTTCGTCGTCCGGGCGGAGAGTGGGAAGCAACATGGCAACTCTTCTGGCCAGCACATCTTCGTCTGGGCACGTCTCGCACTCGAGGCTATACAGAATCTTCTGCGGCCGAATGATAGGGGGGTTATCAAGTGGCGGCAGCCCAAGTTTCCGACGCTGTTCAGCCGCTGAGTAATCACTGAAGCCGTCCAGACTCGACGCGTACGGCCGTGCATAGATGCGCGTGGATTCAGGGTCAAACCGAGGGTGCGCGTATACGGGCAAGTTATACTGAACGGACCAATAGATGATGGAGGGTGGTATGGTTAAGGGGCGGCTGAGGTCCAAAACCTGTCGCTCCTCCCAAACCAGATCCGGATTATTCCTAGTCAATTATTATTTCATGCATCAACGCAATGAGAGAGGAACCGCATACCAGTCAGGCCATCCGGGGCGATGAAATGCAGTCGTCATACACGATAGGGGCCCTCCCCACTCAAGAGGTGGGGGCACTTCGTGCTTGCGAGTCTGGTATCTCTGTCGCCATAATTCATCATACGAGTCGTCGCCCACTTCTGGGTTGAAAAGCTCGCGGAAGTCTTCGGGCAAAATGACCGAAGGATCCTGCCGTTTCCGTATCGACTCCTACTTATCCCATGTCCGTCGTAATTCGCCTGCACGTTCATCGCGCGCGTTTGGTGGCGGTTGAGGAAAGCCATCGAGTCTGTAGGGTTGATGAGAGACGTGAACATCGCTGAAGTGTGTGTGCGCACATGGACTGCCGTTCAGACACGACGGACTCTCTCTCCTGTCTCAACTTCTCGAGTTCCTCATCAATGCGCCGACAAGTTCGCTCCAATTCGTCTAAGCGAGCGCGTGCTGCCTGATCAGCATCTACCAGAGGGGGCAAACGGTCCGTGTACTGGTGGAATGTATACGCGTAGTTGTCCCCAGACTGATAGCGAAGCGAAGGAGGGGTCCGGCCACGCCATCCACCCTCTAACTTGCACAGAGAAAAGAACACTATATCGCCATGGTGAAGGACGCTAAAGCCGTGAGGCGCAATCCTCTTTCGGTTAACCTTGACATGACTCAGTAAGACGGACCGTTACGCTGAGCGTGCACGACGTACCCAGACTCCATTGACCGAGCCCTTATCCACAACGCGCACTTCGTCTCGTCCGTCCCATTCCACCTTGCAGACGGACCAATCTTGGTTTACTTCAGTCCATAGCCCCCCATTTCATCGATTGACATACCGAAGTTGCGAGACTTGAAGAAGATATCGCTGTTGGGGTTGCGTCCGACGCTGTACGACCTTTGAGGCTTATGCAGGTCGATGCGCGTCACCTCGCCAGTGGTGTCCATAGGTATGAACGAAGCGTATAGAAGAGGATGTGCGCATTCGGGAGCCAGGCTCGCCGACGCCACATGCATCGTGTAGGAGGGTGGAAGTGCCAGAAAGAGACGTCGTATAGAAAGATAGCGGTGGTAGTCAAGATGAAGGCCCTCTCAGGAAGGAGGGAGGGTGGGCGGCCTGATAATAGCGTGAGGTCTTGCAGCGAGAACAAGAGGTCGCCACCCTTATTCTCTTTTCGTCATCCCCTCTTATTCGGACGCGTCCATACGAGATTATACACATTGCATTCCCTCCTCGTGTATATAGACGAAGAGCAAGCTAAGCCCAAGAACATGGTGATAGTTCGAGAAGAAGCAGTGGCGGCGGCGCACGCGACAGCCGCGAAACTCCCTCAATATCCTGCGTACAACAATCCGAAGTACCGCCGATGGGCCATTCAACGCCGAAGTTCAGTTCGCTGACGAACTTCTCGATATGCGATGACATATACGCTTGCAAGGATGTCATGGAGCCGCGTGAACACGCCGTCACTGGGTATATACTGAGTACTGATATGCACCTTTCTCAGGCTCTGAGGATGGTGTGGACTTCGCTCGCATTATACAACTTACACGAGAGAGCCATTCCCGTGAGTGCATTATCATTTGATCTACAGGCTACGTATATGACCAGCTCACAATCTTATTCTATCCATTAGACCTTCCCTCTGAGACTGCCGCCCAAAACGAACCACTTGGAAGCCACAAGACAAGCCACCGCTGCAAGCACCGCCGACCCTGCGTATATCCCGGCCGGCTTGTAGCTCCCTGTAGCATCATGTATGGCGCCGCTGATCGGCAAACCCGCCAGCGCGCCGATGGCCATGATGGTGAAATACATCCCCGTTCTCCTTCCCACGTCTTCCGTTGCGCCCATAGCCATGATCGGACCGGCAAGCAAGGCGACGAACGCCCCGCTTGATACCCCGTATAGTGTTATGAGTGTGACGATGGACCCCGTGCCGTGGATGAAGGGCCAGATGTAGGTGAAAACGGCTGTGATGATCATAGAGGGCATCATGACGTTCATGATCCCGAACTTGTCGGCTAGGAAGCCGGTGCTGAGACGGCCGACGATGGAACCAGCGTTTCCGAGTGCAACCAAGTATGGAACGAGCTCGGGGCTGACGCCTTGTCCTGGTGCACTCGACTGGGCGTAGACTAGAACTATAAGACGCGAGAACCTCGTTAGCGATGGATGTGCGTGCGTCATGTGTAGAAAGCTTACAAGTGTAAAGACCGAGGAAACACACGAAGCCGGCAGCCGTGTAGAAAGTGAAAGCAAGGTTCCTGAATTGGGCGAAGTCGACGAGACCACCGGGGGCATTGACGGGAGGAAGCCGGCGACGGAGTGTCAGATTTGCCACACCGAGGGTAAAAAGAAGAAGGAATCCGAGGATGCGCATCGTCCATTTGAAGCTACCAAGAACATGACCCCCATTAGCACTCGACGTATAGGAAGGCACAGCGGGCGTCACTCACCCGACTTCCTCGATGAGTCGACCAAACGCAATAGGGAACAGAGCTCCCCCCAAGGAACTGCCGTTTGCGACAATGGATAGGGCAAGTGCACGTCGTTTCTTGAACCAATGACCAATGATGGCCATAGTCGGTCCATAGATTGCTCCTGAGCATAACTGCCAGCGTCAATCAATTCACGATCTAGTAAGCGTAAGCCTTCCATGAAAGAAGCCATCACTACGGACCCCGATAATGATACCTTGACAGAGCATAAACTGCCAGTATTGCGTGCACTCCGCGATGAGGAAGGTGCACACGACAAGAGCTGTGCTTGCGGTAAGGAAAGGAACCCTGAAGTGGCCGATGTCGAAAAGGCGGCCAAAGATGAAAGCCGGGAGGAAGACGAGCGAGTCCTGTACCGATCCGATCCACGCTCTAGATGTGAACGCATCAGCTCACTGATTCCATGAGAAGATCAGGATCGTAAACAGGCATTGTGGACGATGGTGTACCCGCGAGCAGATCATCTTCATAATACGCCTGAAACGTTCCCCATGCATTGACGACCCCGAAGCTAAAGAGAGGGTTATCAGTCGATGACGTTCATTCATCTTGAACTCGGCCCATATGAGATTGAGACTTACGTCGAGAATGTTATGAATGAGCCCTGTGAGCAGTTGTCAGTAAACGCAGTCTTTCGGTAAAGGTGAGTGGTACACATACTCCGAGGACCACAAGCCAAGCAGCGAGACCGCCGTCTGGATATATTTCCGTGTCATCGAACCGCGGTTCGATGGCGGCGGGAATGTCATCGCGCTCTTCTGAGCGGAAGTCGTGGCGTGTATGTTCATGCTTGGCATCATGTCTTTGGTCATGTTCAACTTCTGCCTTTTGCACTTCAACATCACCCTTCTCTGAGTTGATGGAAGGTGCGGCTGTCCTGTCAGCGTCGGCATCAAACTCGTAGACAGACATGGTCGACGGCGACCCGAAGACGTGACGTTGAAATGATCGAGGGCGAGGCCGGAAATAACTGGCCGGAGAATTGCACCACACATCAATCAGGCTCTTATACCACGCGCTGTGTGTACATTCGCTGTGGAAAACGGGACTCCGACCTCGAGGAAGGGCGGCGCTCCGTCGCCCGGAATTGCCAACTACTCGTCACCATCAGCGAGGATGAGCACCTGCGATTGAGAAACGCCTGCGCTAGCAACTGAACAGTAATTGGACTGCGCCCCGTGAACGTTTGAACTCTTGCTCAAGTGAATAGCTCGACGACACCTGCAAAAGACGATCGTCTTTCGGGCCTGAGGGGCCGTGCACGGCCAATACAGACCCGGCCGAAGTGAATCATCGTGCAGCTTCTGACCGGAAAGGTATTGCACGTAAGGAGCTATTGTGGTCAGTTGTTGCAGTCAGTTTTATCTTCCCGGTTTCATTGGGGATTGGAGGTTCTCTTTGAGGCGAGTTATACATCGCCTGCGTGGACAATCTGGCTCTGGCCGGCATGAAGCGAGCGCAGGATGTACGGAAGTCGATTCCGACTGTCCCAATTTTAAACCTGGACACTAGAAGCTTGGCGAAGTCGGACGAGCAATACGTAATATGCAAAGTAAGACATTTGGGAAGATATAAGCATGGAGAGCCAGCGCTCGGTGTATCGCACAATGGTGGTGGTTCGAGATCAAGCGCATCAAGCCGGGAGGTCACCGTGGTTCGCACGACCTGCTGAAAATTCTTGGCGCATACCTCCATGACCTGTATCGTGCATCTCGTTACTGTCATCGCTCTTAGTACGGAAATTCAAGGTTGACTTTGACTTGACATTGGCACGATGCAGCTCCGCGCAGCACCGGCTCCGCGCTATCAGCCAGACGTGGCGCGCGACGAGCGGGGCCCGATGCACGGCAATGGACCTCCCTAAGTCCTCCCTGACTCAGTATCGTAACTCGAAAGGCTCTCTCGCAAGAAGGCGTACGAGCTCGCTGAGAGCTATACGACTGGCAACATTTAGTGGCTACTTCGTGGCTCAAGCGCTCATCGTTGGGCGGTCAGCGAGCAGCGCTTAGTTGCATAACAACTTGTTCAGGTCGGCGGCAATACCTTCAGTTCCTGACTTTCATTCGTCTGTACCGCAGAGAGTCCGCTCCGCCAGTTTAGCGACTCGTTCCCTTTGTCTTGACGTCCAGAAGGAGTGCTTCGTACCTCACTAGTCCGACCGGGTCTCGGTGACAGCTCTGTGCCCGCACCAATGCCATTCAGCAACACCGGATGCGCGAAGGTTTCGATCTATTAGCAGTCGTCTGGCGTCGGCTCTCGTTCACGCATTCCCGCGGGCTCTCCCTTAGGCTTTCAACTCGAGTGCGTAGCAGGCTACGCGCGTAGTGCGGAGCCACGCCTTTCGTACTTAACGGACTTCGAAGTTCAGTGGTCCGTACTCTCACGTTCTCCTACTCCTGCGTTCTCTGATATGGATCCTCTCAGCCAAGCTACAGCATGGGCTATTGCCAAGATCACGGACGCTGCCATCGACCTCGCCACCAGCAAGGCGAAGGAGGGCGCTAAATCGTTCTGGGAAGAGCACTTCATCGCCGCTCGAGACCAGGTAAGCTCTTCGAGTCTAGCCTACGCTGTAGCACAATCGCTGACCAGTCTCACAGTTCCGGGAGATGCAGGTTGCCATCGAGAAGAAGATCGACGACGCTGTCGAGAAGACGGTTCAAAAGGTCACCGAGAACATGTACGCGATCGAGGCGACCAAGATCGTCACGGCCTTCCAGACGTGGACTCGCCTCTGGGCTGAGGCGCTCGAAGACGCCAAGGCGGGAGATCGCACTGCCCTTCATTCGCTCCAGGAGCAGTTCAAGCACAGCGATATCGGCGCCGCGAACCGCCTGTCGCTGTTGGACAACTACCTGATGGGCGTTTCGTTGGGAGGTGGTTCTGGAGGATTCATTAAGGTTCTGGAGGAGGGTTTCTTCAAGCGCTTGGAGGACGACGAGTTCTTCACCATCCAGCACTACTACGACTCGATCCTCGTCCTCATGTCGCGCCTGGTGCGGATCCAGCTCATCGGGTTCTACTTCCAGCTGTGCGCGATGGACCAGCCGAACGCGGAGCGTGCGAACAAGTGGGCGCAGGAGCTGATGGGGAGGTTCAAAGCGCAGAAGGAGAAGATGCTCGAGTGCATGCCGCCGTTTGTCCGGAAGCTCAAGCCAAACTTCGAGGAGTCTCCAATCCCCGCAGAGCATTGGTGGAGGTTCATCAACGACGACAATCGAGGGCAGTGTCTCGCGGTGGTCAACTCGCGGCCGTGGTACTACGCGGCTGGCCTTACGCACGGCGTCGGCGACATCCACGCGATGTGCAAGTCAAGCGGTACGAGGGCTTGCCCCGAGTACGAGTGGCGATTCGAGCGACCCCTCCTCGTCGATCGCGAGCCGCAGCCGAAGACGAGCGCGGAAAGACACCCGACCGCCGACGTGCACAGCCAAAACCCCGAGGCTATCCAGCGCCAGAAGGACCACGACCTCGACCTCACGTTCCTGCTCAACCGGCACTCCCACAAACGGTTGACGCTCGGCAGCGAGCTCGTGGCAAACGGCGCTAGGAGCTGGGATCCCAAGATGGAGCAGAAGTATTGGAACGAGTATGCCTGGGATCGTCGCAACGTCAGATTCAAGGTGCTGCCTGTGAAAGGCAGACCTGTTCCGGCCTTCCGTTTGCTTGGAATCATGCCCACCGAGGCCAAGACCTGGAAGGGAATGGACGGATTCGCGACCAATCCTATTCCCAATGCCGTGTGGTACTTACACGACGAGGGGACTAGCCAGAATGATTTCTAAAGGTCCTGTTTATCGTTATACGGATACCAGTTCGCTGTCGTAAATTGGGATATATATCATGTGTTGTTCATGAAGGCTATGGATCGTATCGTGAATGCAGCGTCATAGACCCGTTCAATGAGAATATATCTGCGCAATGATGGGCCGACGCGACAGATTGAAACAGGCGTCAATGAAAGAAGGGCGATGGGTGAAGCGGGGTAGACCGAACTTAAATCTGATCAAACGGACGAGGACGCTAAGGCGGGGTCCCCGCATATTGTTACATACGCTGGATTGAATAGAAGAGATAAGGAGGCGCAAGTACTATATGGTGATGGTGGGTCGGGAACAAGCTGTGGCGACGCGCGCGGGCGCCTAAATCGCGGAAATTCGGACAGATATTGCCGAACGCGCTCGAGGCCGCTCCTGACGCCCATCAGCTCACCCGGCTCGCTCCCTCCACCCCATTTCCCCTACCAACCGAACCAGTACGTGCTACTCCCCTGCTTGGATGCTGCCAGACCATGCCAGACGCCGAGAACGCGTCGCTTGCGGCTGGATGGCGTTTTGAGCGCGCGGATGGACTCTGATCTGACTTGTGCGCGTCTTCAGAAAATGTCCGCCACTATCGAGGAGGTCCACGACCACGATCACCACGACCATGACCATGACCACGACCACGACCACGAGGACCCGACGTCCGACGCGGCGCTGAACAAGATCCAGTCGCGTTCGGAGCGTAAGGCCCGCAAGGCGCTCATCTCGCTTGGCCTCCAGAAGGTCCCCAACATCACCCGTGTCACCGTCAAGAGGCCCAAGAACGTGTGTACCGTAGCAATATTCACAGGATATAGATTTGATATTGACTTTTTGCAGTTCCTCCTCGTTCTTACGGCACCCGATGTGTACAAGTCGCAGAACAGTGACACCTACATCGTCTTCGGCGAGGCCAAGATGGAGGACGCGAACCAGCTGAACGCGGCGCAGCAGTTCGCTCAGGGTGGTGGAGCTGGTGCCCTTAGCAACTTCGGTGGTGCGGGTGCTGGTGCGGACGATGATGATGATGACGATGACATCCCCGAGCTCGAGGAGCCCGAGGAGGAGGGCACCGTCGACGAGACTGGTGTCGATGCGAAGGATATCGAGCTCGTGATGCAGCAGGTCAACTGCACGAGGGCAAAGGCGGTCAAGGCGCTGAGGGAGAGCGGAGGCGATCTTATCAACGCCAGTGTGTATGGTTCATCTATCTTCATTGAATATCGTGCTAATGGGATGCTCGTACAGTTATGGCCGCGAGCGAGTAATCGCATCTCCTTCTCTATCTTCTGCTTGCTGTCGATTTGTACACTGTACTTTTGCCAACTCAAACCAATACCGCTGCCATCTACGCTTATGCTCGGGACCATAAGTGATCATCATGTCATCTTCGCCATCTGCGAGCTTCAACATAGTAGTTCGATCTCTCCCATCCGCTCTGCACTATCTCCACGCCCGGGGTGCCTTCAGAGGCGTCTTCCGCTTTGCCCAATACGAGTCCCATGGATTGTGCGGCGCCCTGCATCAACGCGTCCAGCTCGCCCTTCTCGAACATGTGGTAATAACGATGAAATGTCTGTGGCGCCACTTCAAGTGCTTGGAGTTCTTCTGCCTGCACGTCTGAATTCTTCTGTCTGCGAGGCTTCTTCGCACGAGGCTGCTGTTGCGAGAGCACCCATGGTACAAACACATCTTGCCCTGCAGCATGCTGCGACTCAATCTGATCCCCACCGCCAACCGGTATAGCTCTCTTGGACAAGTCATCCTGCTCAATCGCCCAGACGTACACCAGGATACGCCCATGCTCTGCCGATACGCAACCAAGAAGCCTCTGGGGGTGAACGTTAAACCTTAGGCAAGGCGACGATCTGAGCTTGGAGCTTACCTCCACGGCTTGCTGACGTCGCTCAGGCGTGGCTAAATGGTGGATTGTCGCGATCGAGATCGCATAATCCTGCAGAGGACCCCGTCAATTGACTGGATGAAGACCGAGGAATCGGGGACCTACAAAAGCACCACTTCGCCATCCACGTCCAAGAACATCTCCCCAAACGACTTCACGCGGTATATCTCCAGCCGTCTTCGCAATCTCGAGCAAGTTGCGACTCCTATCAAGGCCGATTGTGTGGACAGCGCCTGGTCGTTCGAGTGGGAGGGGGAGATATTTGCCATTGCCAGTCCCGCTATCAAGGCCTACCCATCCCGTGGGGAGATCGGACAGGAAGCGGGATATGATGGGCCATGGCTGTGAAGTTTGTGGCAATTCCCGTCGGTTGGCGAGTATGTAGGAAGTATGGGGATCTTACTTTGTATCGCGTCGTGGAGAAGTGGCTTGCGATCTGGTCGTAGACGTCGTGTACGTGCCGTGATTCATATGTTGATGGGCTATCATCGACGACTGCTACTGTGACTTGTTTTGCCGACATGTAAAGATGGTGGTGGTTTGAAAGGAAGTGGTTGAAGTGAGAACATGACGGAGTCGAGTACGATACAACGATGTAGGCTACCGTACTCAAACGGGAAACCCCATCTCTGCATCCAAGATGTTCCGAAAGCGACTGCCGTCGAACTCGGGGAATGGCTTGAGTGCCTTGGCGTCAAAGCCAGCTATTGTCCCGGCGAGATTGCTGAAAGACGCGGTCAGACGCGAGAGAAGTGCAAGAAAGAGGCGCCACTCACTTCACTGCGCATGCTATGAGATAGCCCATGCCGCCCAGTGCGTCTGCGAGCTCCTTCTGATGGTTGTCGAGGAGCGTCTCGTTGGGCACGACGATCAGCGGCTTGCTCCTCCGTAAAACATCGAGGATCGTTCCCGACCCTATCACAGTCTTTGAGCTCGGCCTTCTTGGACTTTCAGCGGTTCTCACCAGCATGGCTTATGATCAAGTCAGCATCATCCACATCTTGTGTGAGCGACGGCTTGAAGCGATAAACCGAGACGCGTGCGCCATGGAGAAGGCGCGCGTCGCCGAGGATCGCGTCCTCAACGCGCGAGTTGCCACATTGCACGACGACCTCGCCGTACCCACGCGAGCTCAACGCCTCCAACACACTCTGGGAGAGTACCGCCTCGATCAACGCGTCGAACTTTGTCGAGCCTACGGTTATGAAGACTCGCATCGTCGGGAGAGTGGTCCTGGACGGAGTCAGATCGGACTTGCCGTCCGAGTGTCGTGCTCTGGAAATGTTGTACACGGCATCCCGCCTGCTATAGATCTCGAGTGCACTTTGCCTTTCGCCTTCATCTCTCCGTGATCTCTATACCACATCTATAAAATGGGCTACACTCTCTGTGTATTAGGTTTGTACATCAGGCTGGTGCTTTATCATCAAGTGCGCTGACCCGAGTTTGGCAGGCTGCGGTACGATGGGCGTCGCCATTACATCCGGCGTCCTCGCCAGTTTACAGCCCCATCACCCACTCGGCCACATCGACGGGCCGCAAAAGTGGGAGCTCCATACGCCTGGCACGCGCACGCCGACGACGGGCGCGGAGGTCGACCCATCACTGCCGTCGCGCTTCATTGCGTGTGTAAAGCGCGAAGATACGGCGAAGAGGCTGCGTGGGACCTTTGGTAGCGTTGCCGGCGGAAGTCAGGTCGAGGTGTTGGCGGATAAGAACGTCGACGCGGTCAAGCAGGCGGATGTGATCTTGCTTTGGTGCGATATATTGCATATAGCATCTGTTCTGGCGTCCTGACGACTAGTATAGCTGCAAGCCTCAACTTGCGTCTGTGATCCTCAGTGAACCCGGTATCAGGGATGCGCTCGACGGAAAGCTGTTGATCAGCATTCTGGCCGGTGTCACCCTCGCTCAGCTCACCGCTTGGGCGCCCTCAACGACAAGAGTCATCCGTGCCATGCCCAACACCCCCTGCAAAGTAAGCATGCGTCCCGTTTGCCACACACCTTCATAGGTGACATGACTTGCAGATCCGCGAAGGCATGACTGTCGTCTCGACCTTGCCGCCCTCAGAGACGCAAGAACTCGATCGTTCTATCATCTTACAGATCTTCTCGACTATCGGGCGCTGCCGCTTCCTTGACGAGAAGCACTTTGACGCGTGCACTGCGCTCTCTGGTTCTGGGCCCGCTTTCGCTTGCATCTTCCTGGAAGCTATGGCCGATGGCGGAGTAATGATGGGCCTTCCGCGCGCGGAAGCTTTGGAGTTGGCTGCACAGAGTGCGTACTGCCTCCATTGTGCATTTGCTGGCGCTGACCAGTTCATGATGTAGCTTTGCAAGGCGCCGCACGTATGTCGCTGCAGACAAGCGCACATCCTGCCCAGATCAAAGACGCGGTCACAAGTGCGTGTTGAACTTTTGGGCATCGCTTCTCAACTAATAGTGATCCGCAGCTCCGGGTGGATGTACGATCGCGGGACTGCTCGCCCTCGAAGACGGGAGAGTGCGATCTACCATCGCGCGTGCGATCCAGGTGGCGACGGAGAGAGCAAGCGAGCTGGGAAAGCAGTAGATGTCGGTGAGAAGCCCATTGTAGATTATGCTCCCAACCCACATACACCGTACCTCCTACACTCCGATCTGAGTGGATCCTTCCCCATGGGCCTTCGAACTCTTCAAGACAATGGCTGCATCTTTGAAGCGCGAGAAGGTTACAAGACACCTCAAATACATCGATCTCCGCACGTCCGTCGCTCGGAGCAAAAATAATGTGCCGGTAACCTCCTTCGCCGATTCCGGTCGGGCTTCAGTGACACAAAGTCCGTGTCGCCTGCTTAGAATTACCAGACTGCTCTGGAAAAACGCAGGGGGTGGATGCGGGGCGATCTGTATAAAGAGCGCGATGAGGAGCTCACTCCATTGCTTGCTAAACCAAAAATTCGCGCACACGTCGATCCTAACGTCATCATTATGGCAATCACTGAAGACTACTGCCCTCTCCCTACCGTGCCGAACGCGAATGACTTCTACCCTCTCAATGACCCCGCACCCGGTACTCTGTTACCTGCAGTGCGTATCCAGCGTTTAAGTTCTGGGTCACTGTACTGACGGTGCACAGGAGCAATTTCCGAACAATGAGAACCCACCTACGCTCCTCAAGCCCATCACGATCCGCGGTGTGACGTTCCAGAACCGTACATTCCTCGTGCGTACTGTGTATCTGCTGTGGCACTTTGCGCAGTGAGACTGACATGTCCTTCAGTCGCCGATGTGCCAATATAGCTGCCGTGACGGCCATGTGACGGACTATCATCTAGTTCACCTCGGTGTACGTATGCGCGTTCTCTCTTTTTGAATCTGGATCTGACCTCTGGACAGCAATTCGCTCTTCATGGCGTTGGCGCGCTTATGGTTGAGGCTACCGCCGTCGTCCCAGAGGGCCGCATCACCCCTACGGACGCGGTAAGTTCTTCATCGCATTAGTGTTACAGGATCAGGATACTGATATTTGTGCAGGGCATCTGGGCGGATAGCCACATCGCGCCCCTGAAGCGCATCGTCGACTTCGTGCATGCTCAGGGCGCGAAGATCGGCATTCAGCTTGCTCACGCCGGCCGTAAGGCGTCTACTGTGCAGCTGTGGATGAACTTCACGGTCGCGAGCGACAAACCCATCGTTTCGCGCAACCGTGCAACCGAGAAGGAGGGCGGTTGGCCGGACAAGGGTAAGCTCATACGCATTGCCTACGCCATTGAGGCTATCGCTGACGCATGTCTGCAGTCGTGGGCCCAACTGATGCTAAATGGGCTGATGACTTCTACACTCCCAAGGCTATGACCGAGGAAGATCTGCAACACGTTGAAGATGGATTCCTTGCCGCTATCGAACGTTGCAAGACCATCGGCTTCGACTTCATCGAGCTGCATGCCGCACACGGATACCTCATGAGCTCCTTCCTCTCGCCCTTGACCAATACGCGCACGGACAAATGGGGCGGACAATCACTTGAGAACCGTCTACGCTTCCCGTTGCGTATCGCCGCTGCCGCACGGAAGGCGTGGGCCGACAAGCCGCTGTTCGTCAGGTTCAGCGGCAGTGAATGGGCACCAGGACCAGAGCAGGTCGATGGAGAGTGGAAGTCGTGGGGCGTCGAGCAGAGCAAGTTGTTCGCGGTTGAGCTCGCCAAGCTCGGTGTCGACCTCCTCGACATTTCTTCGGGCGGAAACTGGGCGGGACAGCAGATCAAGGCTGCGCCCGGCTTCCAAGTTCCGCTCGCTGCTGCTGTCAAGGAAGCCGCTCCGAATGTCCTTGTTGGCGCTGTTGGTCTGATTCTCAACGCTAAGCAGGCGGAAGAGGTCCTGCAGGAGGGCAAGGCCGACGTCATCTTTCTTGCGCGCGAGCTCTTGCGCAACCCGGCGTTTGTGTTGCACGCGGCGCAGGAGTTTGGGGTCTCGGTCAAGCCTACGGTTCAGTACGAGCGTGGGTGGATGAAGATGTTGCATCCCAAAGTAGGGTTCACTCCGGTCTAGAATTCCTACATAGGACATAATGATAGAGTAGACATGAATTTGAAGAGAACAAGCTGGCCTAACATGTATTGTGGCGACACGAGTAGAAATGTACAGTCAAGGCTTGCAACGATCGGTTCCAGAGCACCATGTGGGATATTGGAAGCGCAGACATATGCGAGATCTCACTCGATCGAGGTCGACCGCAGTGCGCGCAATCGCAGACCTAGAAGGTCGGAAGCCTACGGAAGCTTGTGAAATACGATTATCATTGCAAACGTCGTCATATCATATTCGGCTATGAGAGGCTGTACACGGAGAGCCAATTCACTCGTGCATTCCCAACCAATACGGCGGTGGTGGTTGAGCGCAACTAAGGACGCTTCCGCGATCGGCTAGGGGTTGGCGAGGTACACGCGACCGTAATGAGCGTAACGCGAGCTCTGTCTGTGACCTCTCCCTGCCATCGACGACGACGACCTGCCCGGCACACCTATATCTCACTTCAGCCTGCTACAATCGCAAACATAAGCAAGAAAATTGGACGTTCGGTCTACACTCACCTGTTCGAAACCCTCCTTTGTCGCGATACACTCCTATCCCGCATGTCTTCTAGGAAATACACGTCCTCTAGCCCATCGGCTTTCCCGTCCAGCAGCAATTCAGCTTCGGCATCTCTTCCTGAAGACAAATGGAGACGACGGGAAGCGAGGCTCATGAGCCATTCGTTGTGTCGTGGCCTCGCAAGCCTTGCGCTGGTCCTGACAAACGTCAATTCTTCCAATACAAACACGACGGGGCCGACTTGCCCGAAAGAAGGATCATGGACCCATACCTGTCGGATGACGGCTGAAGCTACTGGAAATGAATTCTCAGTGGGCGAGGAGGAAGGCGGAATAGTTGGACAAGGCAGGATCCTAATGGTGCGCGCTATCGTCAAGTTTCGAGATGTCCGGATTTCAAAATGGCTTTCTTGTTGTCATATATCGAGGGTGTATGCCATGCCACAGTTGGAGTGTAGTGTTGGCGGTCCCCGGGCCCAGCTGGGGCGTCAGCTGGTGTGAAGCTGCCGAAACAATACATCCCGATACTGTCGTTTATCGCGTGCTGCACCACAATCTCCAGTTGATCTGGCAGAATGCTGGTCATATCACTGGAGATACTAACGGGAGTGCTGGCATACTGTCCAGCACATGCTCGACGGCTCTTTGTATGCATGGGCGCTTTACAGTACTGCATAGTAGTGTGCAGGACCGTATGTGCAGTCAGAGTGCCATGACAGGCACTGAGCGTCAATGCTCTTGAGGGTCCGGGTCTCGCCCTCAGGCACTCTCGCCATGTTGTCGAATTCAGCTTCGCCTTCACGAACGTATCCTGTTGCGCTGTTGGTGGCTGTAGAGCATCCCCCATAACGTTGGCTATCGCCATACGCTGGCGCACAAACGTGTGGCCAGCCTGGATATGGTATAGCCTCGGGTGGCGCCTTCCGCCTCTACGACGCGTCGATATTGGCCCGTGTGAAGTCCCGAGAGCCGTCGAAGGCGGAAGGCGCTGATCGTCGCAGAACATGTGTTCCATCGCTGGAACCGGCAAGTGGTGCGTCGACGGTTGGGGTTGTTGTGAACAGCGCAGTCAGATAGGTCGGAGAACCGTATGAGTTTGAAATGTCGCGCCGGCTCTGGACCGCTGGTCTTGAGACCGACGACTGGTGTGCCAGGCGAACGCCGAACATAAAAGCGACGTGCCGCATGTCTGCAGCGTCTCGACACATCCTGCCTCCTACGTGCACGACCTGCTACAGCGAGATGAGCACCCTACTAGACGATACACCAGTCGACGATAACACCCCACCACCGCCATACCATGACGGCGGTCCCGTCGAGCGATTACCCTCGTACCGGCACGGACTGCTGGCGCGTCACCATCCCTACGGACGGCAAACACCCTCTCTCCTTCTTCGACTGCTGGTATGTAGAGCACGCACCGGTCACCGCGCTCAGATGCTGACGGGTTCCATAGCTCACGCCCAACGCCTACGAACTCAATGACGCGCCCATGGGCTCGGGTGCAGGAGACGACGCCGTCGTGAGCAGCAGTGAGCTCCCATCCTACGAAAGTACAGAGGCCCTCAACATATTGGCCAGGTTGGGCTACACGCTGGAACTGAGGATAGGACCGGCGCGGCAAGTTCCGCCGTCGTTGTTGGCGAGCATACGGTGCGTGTTGGGAGTTTGAGCTTGTCTTTCGAGTCTTGCGCGTTTGAAGTTGACCCAACGTCAGAACACGCCTTCTTCGTCTTCGTCTTCTAGCGCACAGGTTGTTCCGAGCGACCCTGCAAGCGCGCCGGAGAACGCGTTGAGCTCTTTCGCTCGCTCAAATGAGCCTGTAGTATCTACGTCGCGCTCCCTCAAGCGCAAACGCGACGAGTTTGAAGCACAAGGCGACCCCGAATAAGCGCTCACCCCCATCAACCCATATGTCCCTGTCATCCCCATCCCTCACAAGTTTGCTATCATCTCACGCTATCTCTCACTACGGTATCCTTGCATAGTTGTTTTGCTGTGCCTTCTTGTTTTCTTGATGTGTATCACGCGTTTCATGTTGCTCTTGCTTTGCCCTTGTATATAATAGCCGTCTTTGTCTCTTGCGTCTCTTGAGCCTTGATGTTGTCTTGAGGTCTTGAGTGCTTGAGTGCTTGAGGTCACAATCACGATCACACGGGAAGGCGCGAGCGAGCAAGAGATTCCATTGCGTGAAAGGCGTGGTAGAAGGAGGAGGAGATGGGGGTCAGAGGCAACCCTCGACGCGTCCCATCCGGTGCGCAACGTTCTCCGAGCGCGTCTACACGAGAGTCAGAACGCGTGGGAGGCATCACGTCGCGGTCACGCGCGGTCCGCGGACCTTGTAGGTCCCGAGTATAAAAGTGGGCGGCTACGCGCGTAGCGTCCCGGTGTGTAGCGCCGTCGAGGGCCACAGAACGTTGGACAGTCCGGAGGGCACCGAAGTAACTGCGTGAGGCTCGCAGGACGATTGTAGCAAGTAGGTTCTTTATCTCGGCGCGCGGCCAAGGCCAGCGCCCACTCGTCACCATCATACGGCAGAGTGCTCTATTGCCAAAGCCGGTTCACTTCATACATATATGCGAGGTCTGAAGCTGATACGTGTGAAGAGCCAAAGCTACGCGGTACATTGGAAGAATCGTGTGCGCGCTCGCTTAGTCTGAATCCGTGCGTAAGTAACGGAAAGTGCATAGAAACCAAGAGGGGTAAGTATAAGTAGAGTAACGACTGCATACTTCGTTCGTAACATTTCTATCATGCTTCGTTCTACATCAAGGTTCACGGGAGAGCTAGTGTTACCGCAACGACGGTCGAGCAGTAATAGCCTCTCGTCAAACGCGACTACCACTTTACCATACGACCCGACGATGGCCAGACCAGTCGCCCATGCGACAGACTGAGACTTCAGCTACGTCTACAGTGACTTCATGAGCGATACAGAGGGCCCGTCTTGCGCTAATCGTTCATCCTCGCAGCGGTATGCATCGTTCTTCACACTCTCGCCGGAGGTCGCCGGAGCAGCGCTGGCGGGATCTCATGCTCGCCTTGTATGCCCGGTTGACGACGACCGCGGCAAGATCATCGATGATGTCGCAGTGCCGAGATTTAGGGTAGAAGACCCTCGCCGACCAGTGGGTACAGGTACGGATCGAGTGGACGGTCAGATGCAACTGCGCGCAAGAACTACAGTGAAGACCCTGATCGGGAGGTCTTGCAGCGGTCGGGCTTCGCGACTACGACAAGCAGGTCCAGAGATACCATAGTACCATATGCTTGGCGCAGCAGACGAATCAAGAGAATCTGACACGGATAATCGGTCTTGCTCGAAGATTGAGCGGGAAGGTGTGCAGGACGCTGCGAGGTCGGGATGGTTTGCGTCAAAGCGCAATGAGCGAGTGGCGTGCGCCCGGCGCGGAGGCATCGCGCGCGTCGTGTGCCACTCAACCCAAACCACCATGCTCGGTAAGGCATCATTCGCTTACAGCGATAGTCGATCATACGCTAACTCGAAACTAGTCGTTGGTCTTACGGGCGGAATATCCACAGGCAAATCCACAGTTTCGAACCTGCTCAAGCAACGCGGTGTGCCCGTCATAGACGCGGACATCCTCGCGCGCGAGGTTGTGGCACCCGGTACACCGGGGATACGCGCCATAGTCTCCGAGTTTGGTCAAGAGGTATTGCGGGAAGATGGAAACCTTGATAGGCCGAAGCTTGGATCTATCATATTCAACGATGAGCGCAAGCGCAAGAAGCTTAATGCGATTGTACACCCTGCTGTGAGGAAAGCTATGGTGTGGGCAGTGCTGAGACACTGGATGCGTGGAGATAGGGCCTGTGTACTTGACGTCCCACTACTCATTGAATCTGGTATCTGGCACTGGGTGGGGAAAGTCGTGGTCGTATACTGGTGAGTTCTTCCCACAAATCCGCGCATTCGGCACAGGTTCAAGCGGTGCGCGCGTCTAGCTCACAGGAGATCCAACTACGACGACTGCAAGAGCGCGATGGCAGTACCCGCGAAGCCGCACAGTCTCGCGTCAAGGCGCAGATGCCGATCACCGACAAGCTCGACTACGCCGACCAAGTTCTCGACAACTCGGGCCGGCCAGCCGATCTTGAGCCGCAAGTAGATGCACTCGTACGTAGGATGCAGCGCGAGACAGGCTGGTCGTACAGACTTGACTTGTTTCCGCCGTTTGGACTGGTCTCGGCTCTATTGACGCTATTCTGGCGACGCGTCAAGTACGCAAGGAGAGCGAAGAGGGGTAGGGGTAGATCACAAGTGAATGCGGCGGCACCGGCTTCTTGACCCGCCCTCCGACCTGCTTACTGATTGTATCTACACTTCTGGATGGATGTACATTATGGACAATGTCTTACTGCTTAATTCATGCCGTAACATGAACCGATATCCCGGGTAGTACGGCTTGGTAGCGGCCCCCGAGCTTTATAGCGACGCACGTGAAGACGTCACTTTGCAATTGCAAGAGCAAGTCGCGTTCTTCTCTTAAGCCGCGACCACCACCAAGTCCTCCCCCGTGTTTTGGCCCCATATACACGATAGGACACTTACTCCACTACTCCCATACTCTATGGCTTCAGCTGACTCTCAGGCGTTGACAAGGACCTTTCGTCCCTCTACGAATCTCTCAAAGTCTACTAGGCTCAATGTACCCCAGTTTCTGCAGAAGCTTTACGAGTGCGCCTTTATACTCAGCTGTGGCGCATATAGACTTATACCGCCTGTAGGATGGTGAACGATACGACGAATAACGACTTGATACGGTGGTCAGATGCAGGGGACGCATTTCTCGGTACGCACATTGTGTTTAGCGCCACTCGGATCGGTCGTACTAATACATCCGTCCTAGTCCTCGACCACGAACGCTTCGCACGCGAAGTTCTAGGACGCTGGTTCAAACATCAAAACTTCCAATCATTTGTCCGCCAGCTGAATATGTACGGCTTTCATAAGATTCCTTCGCTGCAACAGGGCGTCCTCAGGTCCGACTCCGACACAGAGATCTGGACATTTGAACACACCCATTTTCGCCGCGACCAGCCCGATTTGCTTTGCTTGATATCGCGCAAGAAGCAGGCGTCGCAGCAACCGGCGAACGCGATCGAGAATAACGCCAACGTTGAGGAGGTGCAGACGCCCGCTACCCCTGCAACCACGGCGTCTGCGGCGGGCGGTGGTCAGGTGCTCGACCTTAACCAGATTGTTACTGGCATTCAGGCTATCAAGCGCCACCAACAGACCATCTCGGCCGACCTGAACGACCTCAAGGCATCGAACCAGGCGTTGTGGCAGGAGGTCGTCGCTGCGAGGGAGCGCCACAGCAAACAGCAGGATATGATCAACCGCATCCTCAAATTCTTGGGCAGTGTGTTTGGGAGGCAGGATCACGATGCAAAGAACCACGGGGACCGCGTTACGCCTTCCCCTCCGCTCATGGCAAGACACGGGCAGCGTCTTATGATCGGCGATGTTGAGAAACCGAAAAGGCAGGTGGAGGTTGTTGAGGTGGAGGACGAGGCGACGCGTTCGCCGACGACATCTTCCAAGTCTGAGTCCGAATGTAAGTCTTCTATCGGCATCAACGCCATGATGCTAACGTCGCCATAGTCCCGACAACCGCACATATCGACACACACTCGGTCACGTCGCCTGCCACCGAACGCACATCAATGCTCACGCCCGCAACAGAAGCGCCGCCTCCTTCCTTTTACGTCGACTCCAACGCAGAGACGCCCGGCCCGTGGTCACAGGCGCAGAACCCGCTTCCGTCGACTCCAACGCCATATCCTACCCTTGACCCCAGTCAAGCGCAAATAGAGTTGCATCGCCCGCAGCCTTCGCAACCTGGAATGTACCCTGGCGGCGGCCCGTCTCCCTTCCCATCTTCCCTCCCTGCAAATACGCAAGATATGCAGGCTGCCTTCCAAACGCTGCTCAACTCGCCCACACAGTTGCAACGGTTCATGGACGCGTTGAACGCCGCATCTGTTCCTCCCCCTGCGCCACCGCCTGCGCCACCCATGCCTACACAGTCCTATCAACAACCCGCACAACAACAGCAACAGCTAAATAACAGCGCTGTGCAGGCATATGTCCCTCCCTCCTCATACCCACCCTTCGACTTTTCGCAGTTCAACCCTGAAATGGCGAGCGCGTTGTTACCAACAGGAGACGATGGAACTGCTGCGCTGGCTGGACTCACAGATAACCAGCAACAGCAGATGGCGCGCACATGGAAGGATGCGCAGGATATCAACCAGGAGGTCGACACGATCAACGACAACATCCGCTCGCTCATGGAGAACATGGGCTTCGATCCGTCTACACTGGCTTCGCCCGAGCAGCCTGATACAATATCCGACCCTTCAAACGCCGACTTCGACTTTGACGCTTTCCTCAGCACGTTCGGGTCAAATACAGCTCCGGACGCGGGGTTCATCGACAGTGATCCCGTTGCGTCGTCCGTTGTGCCTGGAGATGGCGATATGAGTGGTATCACGGCGTTCATGGACGATGTAGCTGCTGACCCTGCTCCGCGCGCAAAAGCGCAAGCTCAGGCCCAAGCCGCTGCTGTGGACGCTGCGAGGAAACGACGGTCAGATGCGGCAGAGTTAGATGCAGGTTTGAGACCCGTCGTACCGAACGGCGCGCCACCGCCGAAAAAGACGAAGGCTTGACGCTATCAAAGGATGGAATTGACTGCGGTCTTCTGTTCTTTCTTGGTTGGGCATCTGTTTGGGTGGCTTTGGACTGTGTCTCTGTCGTCTTCCCCTTGTATTTGTTTTGACTAGTAGAGTACGTGAACCCCCGATAACTATACGACTTCTCTCTATCGTTTCGTGCTGTCGTGTTGCTTGCTCAATCATGTATCGATAAAATCGAAATAAATTACGCATATCTTTCCTGACGTAGGAGTTGCTTCGCTATCAAAGCTCTTGTTTGGACCTTTATCTGATGATAGTGACATATGGCGAGCCGACTGCGACTGCAAACCGCCAGGGGCCCAGCAGATCAACAAGGACCCATATCCACGGTGCTGATCTCCCACGCGTTTGACGCGACGCGCGTCGACGCGTCTGAACGCGCGCGCATCGAACAACGCACCTCATACCACCACCATGGCCTCTCAAGATGCAGAGATGGAGATTCAACGCGAGGTATGTCGCAACATATTTTCTAGGCGCCTGTACTGAATATAACTAGGACCCGACATTCGAGTCTGTCGTGACCGAGCGCACGCAACTCATACAGGAGCTTCAGGAGGAGGACCTCTACGTGAAATACAAGAAACTATCGCGTCATCTAGAGATGCTCGAAATCCAAGAAACATACGTGAAAGACGAGCAGGCGAACCTCAAACGCGAACTTATCCGCGCGCAAGAGGAAGTCAAGCGTATCCAATCCGTTCCCCTCGTCATTGGCCAATTCCTCGAGGCCATCGACCAGAGCACCGGTATCGTCGGCTCGACAACCGGCTCGAACTATGTCGTCCGAATTCTGTCTACTCTGGACCGCGAATTGCTTAAGCCGTCTTCGAGCGTGGCGCTGCATCGGCATTCGAACGCACTCGTGGATATATTACCGCCGGAAGCGGATAGTTCAATTACGATGTTGGGCGAGCAGGAGAGGCCGGATGTCACATATTCGGATGTTGGAGGAATGGACTCGCAGAAGCAGGAGATCAGGGAGGCGGTCGAGTTGCCACTCACGCACTTCGACCTCTACCGCAAGATTGGTATCGACCCTCCGCGCGGTGTTCTCTTGTATGGTCCACCAGGTAGGTTTTTATCGAAGATATATATCTCGGACAAATATCTGATTCATTTATGCAGGTACTGGAAAGACCATGTTGGTCAAAGCAGTAGCACACCACACGACCGCCTCTTTCATCCGCGTCGTTGGCTCCGAGTTCGTGCAGAAGTACTTGGGAGAGGGCCCACGTATGGTTCGCGACGTCTTTCGTTTGGCACGAGAGAACGCACCAGCTATCATCTTCATTGACGAGGTTGATGCCATCGCTACAAAGCGTTTTGATGCGCAGACGGGTGCCGATCGCGAGGTGCAGCGTATCCTGCTCGAACTTTTGAACCAGATGGACGGCTTCGACCAGGGCAGCAATGTCAAGGTCAGCATTCTCTGTTACCACATGCCTATTAGAATCATACTGACACCCGAACGTACAGGTCATCATGGCGACGAACAGGCAAGACACTCTTGATCCCGCACTACTTCGTCCCGGTCGTCTGGACAGGAAGATCGAGTTCCCATTGCCATCTCGCCGTGAACGTCGCCTCATCTTCCAAACAACAACGAACAAGATGAACTTGTCGCCCGACGTTGACCTCGAAGACTGTAAGCTTCCCCTGACCCATACAGCATGAACTTGACTGACCAACAACATCCGAACAGATGTCTCACGGCCAGATCGCTTGTCCTCGGCCGAGATTGCATCCGTTGTCCAGGCAGCTGGTCTACAAGGTACATCCTTTGTTAGCCTATACTTGTACTCGGTCCTGAGGTTGCGAGTACAGCTGTGCGCAAAAATCGATACGTCATTCTGCCGGTGGACTTCGAGGAAGCGTGGAAGGTGCGTTGTTTGGCTTTATTTGGTCCCATCAATGTTGGCGGAATTTTTGACGCAAATGCACCTTGCTTCCTCCCATCCAGCAAACCGTCAAGCGCACCGACGAGACGCATGCTTTCTGTACGTATCTTTGCCTTCTTCTTGTTTCACGATGTCTAATGGTCATCATGTAGACCGGTGAGGAGGTATTGGTCGTGGATTGGACCGTTGTTGTACGTGGTACCTTATTCCTCTTGTAGTTCAACTGACTGACCAACTACCCGCAGGTTACCCATATGTACTCTACAATTGCATCACATTTACTCATTCCATCCCATCGCGTGAATTTTCCATTGAGACGCTCTCGTTCACTTTGGTCTCTCCCCCAGCTCCCACGGGGAGGTGCTCATTCTTGAGAGCAAGAACACTTCTTGCGTTCGCGTAAGGCCGATGCTTTTTTGCCTCTTTCGCCGGCCCTTTGGGCTGAGCCCGCGGTCTTTTCGGAGGTCGCGCGCTGTGGTGAAGGTGGTTCACACGTTGGGGACATCCGTCTATAGCAGTCTGTTGCTCACCTCTTGTAGTGTATCCTAGGTGCGTCGTGTTACTGTTGCGCGCCAAACGTCCAATACTGACGATTTTCCCTGCAGGTAGCCTTCCAATACGATGTTTACTTATTGACTTATCCCCGTGCGATCGTCCGCATTGTTCATCCCTCCCAACCCCGCATCGCTCCTCAACACTCTGGACGGCGTTGAACACCCACACGCATCGTTCTCATTTTACGGGAGCAAGAGGAATGCCCGCGAGGTATTCGCTTCCGCTACCCCGATCTACCTCTTCGTATTGTGAGGTCTGGTCCTGTGTGCTGGAATACATACTCTACCTACCTATTCGTGTATCATAATGTACCACGTATCTCGGCTACTCGATGATACGATGTTGTGCCCTTTCTACGAGAGTCGGAATCTGAGCAAATGTGACAAGCATGAAGCAGCGAAGCATGGATGCAAGATGACTATGAATAAGTGTAGGGGTGGGGTACACGCGCCCGTGCGTCGCGCGCCGCGCAGGTTGTTGGCACCTTGACCAGACCCACCATGAGCGCCTATTGAACATCCTCTCTGCTCGAATAGTTGCCTCTTGGCACTCACATGTACACCTACAACCCATCTCGGAGCTCACACCGACATACACGATTGGCATGGGGCATCCTTGTGAAGCCGTACGATGATGACCTCAACCTGCTTTGATGATGACGCGACAAAGCTCACGCTTTGGTTGATCTTCATATTTCTTCGCTGGACTGCCTGAGCTTCCTCCGGGGCCCGATAAACGGTCCATCTCTGGGGAGTACTGGTATTGGCGCCTCGGGGCCCGTCAAAGAAGGCGCTCCTGCTGGATACCACGATGGATGGTAATCCCGATGAAGTTCGGGCGTAAGCCTTATGTCGCGCGCAGCGCTCCTTCGTGGTTCCGATGAGTTGCTTGAATACGCAAGCAGCTCGGCCACTCTTGTGATTCGTGCGAAGTGCTGACCATGATGTGCAGTTCATCGCGTTGAATGGGCTTGCGTGTGCCAGCCGAGGGCGCATCAAAGGGATGAGACTCGTCTGGAGCAGGGTCGTCCGAGCGTCTCCTCACCGGCCATCGGGACAGCGCCACAACGTCTACAGACGGGCCGACCCGAGGGAATATATAAAGCAGATCTGTTTGGTATCAGATAGCCCATCTACTTCCCTTCTCTCGCATCCCCTATCCGAGTCACAACCAACTCTCACCTGACTTACCATGTCCTTCGACGCTGACGTTCTAGTTGTCAGTGGGCCTACTACTATACTTGTATGCCCTTTCTGAACAGGTTCTCCTCAGGTTGGAGCCGGCCCTGTGGGCCTCATCAGCGCGTTGACGCTCGCCATGAACGGCGTCAAGGTGCGCATTGTGGAGAAGCTGCCCGCGCTAGCCGTTGGGCAACGCGGCGCGGGTATCATGGCAAGTCTTCAGCTACCGTCCAATTCACTTGTCCCTGCTTATATGTATTGTCACAGGTGCGCACCATGGAGACATACCTTATGCTTGGTATTGCCGATGAGATCAAGGCCGCGGGCTCTGTCGTCGTGCCTGTGAAGCAATACGATGCTGAAGGGAAACCCTTCGAAGAATTCAACATGATGGAAAGCCTGAAGAAGGCGCCTGGCTTACCCGAGGTTGGTTTGCTCTCAACTCGCGCGTACATAGACATGTTGCTCACTCTAGTTGCAGACGGATCCCTGGATATTCGGTCAGGATGGCGTGTGCAAGATCGTCTCTCGGCGCTTGAAGGAGCGGTTCGATACCAACGTCGAGTTCGGCACTGAACTTACCAACCTCGAGCAAGACGAGACGGGCGTCACGGCCACAGTTCAGGTGCAGGGTACTACACAGACGATTCGTGTCAAGTATGTGGTTGGAGCGGATGGAGGGAAAGGTAGTCATGATTAGCAATCTCCGACATTAGACGGCATCGGCGTTCTCATGCCTTCTTTCTCAGGTGCTACTCGCCGCTTTACGGGCGCCCAGCTGATCAGTCAGTCGGATGCAGAGGGCAGGATGCTCATCGGAGATCTGGAGTTGACTGGGTTTGATACGAAGGCGGGTACTTATCCCGTCTTCTATCAGCGAACACGCAGCTGACATTACCGTTCAGCACTGGCATCATTTCGCGGACGGGAAGGGTAACATGTAAGTATCATCTTCGATGTCGAAGACTTTGTCAGGCATCCTAAGCATATCATCATAGCCTCGCCGTGCGCCCAGTACCCGAAGAACCCAAGTTGTTCTTCATCGTCGCTTTTGGTCCGGACCTCGACATTGCCAGGGCGACTACGGATATAGAACATCTTCTCGATTGGCTGCACAAGTTGACGAAGCATACCGATATCGCCATTAACAGGGTCTCTACCTTGGCAGACTGGAGGTACGCATGTCTTGAACTCGAGAGATGCCCATTTATGAACCGTGTTCAATGATATCCAGGCTGAATGTACGCATGTGCGAGAAGTTCCAATCTGGAAGGATAATTCTGGCTGGCGGTTCGTCTTCCTATCGTTTTTCCGTTGCCAAAACCTAGACTGACGACAATGCATGTAGATACTGCCCATCTTCATAGCCCAGTCAGTGTCACGCATCACTTTTGCTATTGGTTCAAACACTCATCGCTCAGATAGACCGGCGGACAAGGCCTCACTAGCGGTATCATGGACGCGGTAAGCATCCAGTCTCTCATAACGTGCTTCCAAGCTCATCGCCACTCAGAGGAACTTGAGCTGGAAGGTCGCTCTCGCATGCAAGGGATTGGCCTCGCCTAAGCTACTCAACTCTTACAGCGAAGAGCGCGTCCCCGTTATCAGCGACATGCTCAAGATCACAACCAAGCTAGCAACCGCAACCTTCAAGGCTAAGCCGGATGCAGAGGCGTTCAAACGTCCGACGAATCTGGCCCAGATCGGCGTACACTACCGCTGGAGCCCGATCGTGTACGATGGCCTGCGCGTTGGCGATGCGCAATTCGAGAGTACGAACCTCTCGCCGACGAGTACCTACGGCAGCGATGAAGAGACGCGCGTACAGGCTGGCGATCGTGCGCCCGATGCCCCGGGTCTCGTTGGTTCTGAAGGCGAGACGACGCTCTTCAACCTCTTCAATGTTGGTCGGCACACTGTCATCGTCTTCGATCCCAGCCGCACCGCTGCGATCCGCGCCGTCGTCGAGAAGTATCCGAAGGAGTGCAACATCGATGTTGTGACGGTTTTGCCGAAGGGTTCAGAGAAGCAGGATGGTGCACTGGTGGACTCACAAGGTCACGCTGCTCACGGGTATGGTGTGGAGGCTGGTGTTGCTGTTGCTGTTGTTCGTCCGGACGGAGTCGTTGGCGCGCTCCTCAAGGCCGAAGACGACGCCGACATTTACTTTTCCCGCGTGTTCTCAGTCTGAATCGATTTCGACGTGACTATACTTTAATGTTCCATATACCAACCTCCCCACTCATATCCACATGGACGTCCGCCTAAGTGTTCCGTACCCTTCTCCTTATGTATTGACCCAAGTGCCCGTGCATATACTTCACTTTGAATATGCGGCAACATGCATGCTTCTTCAGTATCGTATCACTAAGCTTGAACGGGATGCAGAGCGTTGTGAACTCGCACACATGGGTACATTAGTCCTCTGGCGCGCTTGCCAGAACCGCTGGCACGGTATATGTTCCCACTGTGGTTGAAGCACGGAGACATAAGAGAAGTATCGGCATGGGATAACAGGTTTTGTCACTCTAGTGATTTTGCGGGCTCAGAAGGGTTATACGGTATGTCCAGGAGTTCACATAGATTGTTGTGGAGGCAGTAGTTCAGCCAGTAGGAGGTGGTAGGAGGTGGTAGGAATCGAAATCGCGCATCTCGCGCCGTTAAAGCCGCGGCACGTGCATCAACGGTCTCGCGCTTGACTTGACTGGAACCATCATGTCTCGAAAGAGAGCACTATCGGCCTTCAAACTCCATTGATAAGCTTGGTTCACATAGCATCACCGGTTGTGCGAGAATGCAAGCTGGCGGTGGCTGAACTGGCAAAGCTTCTTTCCCGACTTCCATCGCGCCAGGACGAACAACGGGTTTTCTCCCGTTAGACATTCATACGTGACTGTAACACGGCTTGCGGCGAGTATACCGCGCGAGACGTAAGTCAGGTGGCTACACACGCTCCAAGACCCGCGAATGACACTAGCTATTCTCGAGGAGAGGCGACACGCTCACGCTCGGCTCAGAGCTGTTCGAAGTTACACCTAGCCCAGCAACTTCCTGTGCATCTATCCGGCAGGCTTGCGTGTACAAGCCGAAGTCGTTGTACGGCGACGAGCTCGTATACAGACAATGTGGTGGCCTATAAGTCAGACTCTCAGACTGTAGCGATTCTCCCTATCCCTCGAGCCCTCTGATAGTGTACTCCGAAAGCTATCTCACGCGTCCCACGATTCAACATGTCTTTCGATGCAGACGTCCTCGTCGTAAGTCACCTCCTTGACCTTCCAAGCTTGTCGATATCTCATGCAACCATCTTCAGGTTGGTGCTGGACCTGTAGGTCTTGTCGGCGCCCTTGCGCTCGCCATGAACGGTGTCACAGTCCGCATAATCGAAAAGCTTCCCGCGCTTGCCGTTGGCCAACGTGGCGCGGGTATGCAGGTGAGCCCCCCGTAGCCTTATCGCATAGCATCCTTCACCGTCGCTTACCGCTCGCTACGATAGCCTCGTACGATGGAGACGTATCGCATGCTCGGCATTGCTGATGATGTGAAAGCTGTGGGCTCGATGCTTTCACGCGTCCAGATGTACGATCTTGAAGGGCATCCTACCGAAGTTGTCGACATGATGCAGTGGAGCAAGAAGACGCCAGGCATACCCGAAGTACGTTCATTCCGGCTTCGCAATACATCTAGCGAAGCTGTCTCTGATAATAATGCATGTACTACATAGCCGGAGCCTTGGGTGCTTGGTCAGGACTGGGTGTGCAAGATTATCACTCGGCACCTGAAGGAACGATTCGGGATCGACGTCGAGTTCGGCAACGAGCTCGTCGGTATCGAGCAGGATGACACTGGCGCTACTGCCACCGTTCGCGCTGATGGCGCCCAGCAGTCGACCCGTGTGAAGTATATTGTTGGCGCGGATGGGGGTAAAGGTGCTGTCTTTGACGTCTCTAATCAGGGACGCGCCTTATAACTCATTCGTCAGGGATAACCCGTAAACTTGCGGGTGTCAGTCTGGTGAGCCAGTCGGATGCTTTGGCCGAATCAGTTATCGGGGAGCTCGTGTTGAAGGGCTTTCCAACCTCTGAGGCAAGTGAGAAGCTGCTTAAGGACATCAGCGCAGCTGACGAAAGCTTGACAGTACATGCATCTCTTCCGTGATGCTAAGGGAAATGGGTACGCCCGAATCTATCGCCTTCTGTGCATCTCACTGAGCCACCATGCTACTACTAGACTCATGGTGCGTCCGGTGCACGAAGCGCCTGGACTGTTCTTCATCTTTGGCCATGGTCCGAACCTCGACATCGTTAAGGGAGCGAAGGACGTTGACTATCTCCTCCAATGGATGCGCGATGTAACGAAGCTCACAGACCTCACTGTTGATTCAGTAGGGTCTCTGTCTGAGTGGAGGTACGTCTGGCTGTTCTCTAGCCACGATACATATTGATCATTGTTTGATGATTATCTAGGCTGAACGTACGCATCTGCGAGAAGTTCCAAACCGGAAGGATTCTGTTGGCCGGCGGTGCGTCCTTGCATGGCTTCTGCTTTATGCGCCTCCTGACTGGGGATCATCATACGCAGACGTCGCTCATCTTCATAGCCCCGTAAGTGGCATCTTTGGAAGCGTCGTCCATGCTCTTACTCTTCATCAGACTGGTGGACAAGGCCTTACTAGCGGCGTCATGGATGTGGTTAGTCATGCGCGTCATACATTCTTTCAAGCGTACTGATGACGATACAGAGGAACTTGAGCTGGAAGATCCCGCTCGTATGCAAAGGTCTTGCTCCACCCAGCCTGCTCGACACCTACAGCGAGGAACGCGTCCCCGTGGTCGGCGAGATGCTCAAAATAACGACTAAGCTGGCCACCGCAACATTTAAAGTCAACCCAGACCCCGACGCGTTCAAACGCCCCGCGAACTTGGGTCAGCTTGGCGTTCACTGCCGCTGGAGCTCAATCGTGTACGACGGACTGCGCGTTGGCGAAGTGCAGTTTGAGAGTACGAACCTCGCTCCGATGAGTACGTACGGCGGTGACGAAGGGACTCGTGTGCAAGCGGGTGATCGTGCGCCCGATGCGCCGGGTCTCGTTGGCACGCAAGGCGAGACGTCGCTCTTCAACATCTTCCATGTTGGCCGGCACACCGCTCTCATCTTTGATCCTTCCTGCGCCGCCGCCGTTCATGCTGTCGTCGACAAGTACCCCAAGGAGTGCGGTATCGACGTCGTAGTGGTGATGCCGAAGGGCTCGGAGAAGCAGGAGGACGCTTTTGTCGACTCTCAGGGCCACGCCGCTCATGGTTATGGGGTGGAGGCTGGCGTCGCGGTGGCCATTGTTCGTCCGGACGGAGTTGTAGGCGCACTGCTCAAGGCTGAAGATGATGCTGACCTCTATTTCTCTCGCGTCTTCTCTGTGTGATCGAACTCTGCATAACATCGTTACGCCTCTCTTCACCTACGGATCTCCCCCACTCACATGATATTGATGCTCTTCTCATATGATAGAATGCCGCTGCCGCATGGCGGGTGCCTGATCTGCATAGATACCCCAAGCGCACACACATACCATTGTCACCAAGCGCATTTCTCAAACTAACTGATGATAGCACGGAGATATGATGAATGTAAGATATAAGAAAGCGACAGCAACAGCAACGACCACAGCACACCAACAACGAAAACACATCTATGTCCGTCCCACAAGCCTATAAAACAACAAATACGCACACCGGTCCTCCCTCGCATCACCAAACACATCCTCAGCCCTAACATCGCTGACCAACTCATCGTCGATCCTGACCCACGCCTCCCTCGGCCTCGCGCCCGCACCACCAACAACACCATCCCTATTCGGATGCAATACATCGAGCGTGTAATGTCCGCCACTAGCACTGACGCCGTGATGGTAAAGCGCGCCAAAGAGTTTATATGTCCGCGGCATGGTCTTGCGTTGGGCGGAGGGGTAGAGGAGCTCGAGTGGGATTTCGAGGGAGGGCGGGAACGTGACGGATTTGGAGAGTTTGACTATGGTGCGAAGGGTAGTGTCGTAGTGGAAACGCTTGAGGTGGAGGACGAGGACGGGTGGCAATGAATCGATGAGGACTTGTTGGGTTCCGTCGATGGGCACGCCGGATTTGATGAGTTGGACGGGTTGGGGCTGGGCGACGTTGATGAGGGCGTCTTTGATCGTGTGCACATTGTCACGCTGTGTGCGGTATGACGTCAGTATTTGACGGCGATGAAGCGAGAGTGTGAAGAGAACGTACGGAGATATCGAGCTGCAACGCCCTCCAGTCCTCCTTGACAGCACTATCTTTCTGCCCAGGAACCCTCAGCGTGCTCATAAACTTCCCGCCGAATATCCTCGTCAGAGCACTTTCAGGCGCAGCGCCCCTGACCGTCCTCGTAACGACCGTCCTATTCTTCTTGCCCACGTTCATCCAGCCCGCGTCTTCCTCAGACGGTGGCGGCGCAGTAGATGTCTTCTCAACGATGTGAGGTGTAGACGTAGATTTGGGGGGAGACAGGGACTGGGAGAGCGCGGCAAGTTCTTCTTCGAGCGTGTCGAGGAAAAAGCCGAAGAACTCTTCGGCGTCTTCTTGGTGTTGACCCTATCACAATCCGTCAGCCCTACGCCCTTGACAATAGTACGATACATAAAGTACTCACAAGCATGCTCTCGAACCTCTTCTTCTCCTTCATCGCATCATACACATACGCCGGCAAGAACGAGTCGATCCCATCCTCCTCTTCCTCATCGCGCTCCCGTCCATCCTTTTTCTTCTCCAACGGGCCAAACTCCTTCAGGAATCTGACCGTAGCATCCACAAGCGGCGTGGCGCCCTCAGTCACATTGCGAGACCTCTTTCCCTCCTCAGCCGGCGGCAATGCCTTGCCGACGGCCTCGAAGAGTTTAGCGAATGGTACGCAGTACGCGAGCAGTTGAAGGACTGCATTGGCGAAGCACATGTTCCCGGTGTTGACGAGCCCACGCGGGCGGATGACGGGTAGTAAGCCCATAGAAGGAGGGTGTTGCTTTCCGGAGAGAAGACGGAGAAAGGCTTCACGTTGAGCTGGGGGGACGCGAGCGGGTGGAGGTGAGGCGGGAATCGAGAAGCCGACGACAGAGGAAGACGGGAGACCCGGAGTCGGGCCAGACGAGCGCAGGAGGGATGCCCATGACTTCTTAGGTGCAGGTGCAACGGGTGCGGCGGGTGCGGCGGGTGCGGCAGGAGAAGCGGGAGCAGCAGCGGGTGATGACGCCGGTGCAGGCTCCTCGGCGATGGTCGGCGGCGCGGGCTCGGCGGCCTTAGCGACGGACACGCTCGTGTTGGACGAGAGCGGGCTACCGGGCATTGGCGTATCGGGCGCGGTACTGACGTCCGTGCTGACGACCTCTGGGCTCGTCTCTTTCTCGGCCTTGGTCTCCGCTGGAGGCTCGGGCGCTTCCTCAGGCTCGTCTTCTTGCCCGATGAGCATTCCCACGCTCGAGTGAGCCGTGCGTGGCGGTAAAGCGACGGGTTTGAGTACAGGACTCGCAGGGGGCGTACGTGCACTGGATGCTCTGAAGCGTGTCACAGCGTCAGGACGTGCGCGAGGGGAAATGATGACGCCCGGTGCGAGAGCGGGATTCGTAGGTCTCCGAGACCAGATCATGAAGAGAGGGTTATCGGTGTGCATAGCCGTGCCTGTCTGCGGTACTTCGGCGGGCGCCTCTTCAGGCTCAATCGTCGCAACGATGGTGACCTCTTCTTCAGGTGTCTCTTGCTCGACAGTGATCGTGGATGATTCTTCGTGTGGGGGTTCTGGTGGTGGAGTAGGGTCTGGCGGAGGAGGCGGTTCGGATGGTCCGGCCTGCACCTCTTGCGGTTCGGGGTTCGGTTGCGGCGATTCAGGCACTGACTGAACAGGCGGCTGCTGCGGTTGTGACAATTGTTGCTGCTGCTGCTGCTGTTCAGGTTCAAGCGGACCGTCGAATATCCGCGGTCTAGGCGGAGCACCTGACGTAGGTGTCAATGCCGGAGGTGGAGGCATAGCGAGCTGCTTCGGTAACGGAGATATCGGCGCGCCCTGGTGCCAATTTTGCGGGTGTGGATGGAAGGGTACGGGATGGGAGTACGCCTGCGCGAATTGTGGAGGTCCAGGCGGAGGATGAGGTGGGAATTTTGGTTGTTGATGGAGCGGATGTGGTTGGTGCGCGTGGGGGTGCATGGGCTGAGGCGAGTGTGATGGCGGCGGCGGGTGGTTCATGTAGAGGTGTGCGGGGAAGAAAGGGGGCGGGCGAGACGGTTCGCCAGGCTGGTACGGTCCTCCTCGCGTCCGTGGTGAGCCGGGCATTGGGCCAGGGCCTGGAGGCATCGGGTATGGGTAGCCGTACATCCCGTTCATGTTCATCGGCGGCGGGTAGGCGTATGGTGGCGGGTAGTAGCCAGTAGAGGGCCCGGGATGGCTATAGGGCTGCGATGGGCCAGGCATCTTCGGATATTATGTTCATATCGAATATACGGCGACTGCAGATATGGCGACTCACGGTGGTGATGTAATCGTACTGTAGCAAATAGCTTATCAGTCAATGTCTCGCAATTCCACGCGCACTGTAACGCACAGGTCTTCACAGAAACCTGAGACAATAAGCGAACAGTAGGCGCGTAACGTTAGTCCAGTTCCAATAGCCGCGTGATCTGTCCTATCCACGGTCAATCTCAACTCCCCTGTCACTTCACTCCTTGACAGACACGTACAGCTACTAGTGTTGGCGAGTAAACGAGCGACAGTCGTGAGCAGGGCAGTGGAAGTCAAGGAGGAAGACAGTGACCAAACGAGATCCAGCCGCGTGCGCGATTTCTTGACGCGTGGCTGATGACGTGAGAGTTTGATGCCTCTAGCGTACATACATGTACACAAGATCAAATATGCGTCTGCAGCTGCAGGACCGTGGTACTCAGCGAGCAGTCTGCCACTCAATGAAACTGGGTTGCCATCGGGCATCCGATGAGTGATCGTGCAGATGGCAAAGCTTCCACAACAACGATGGCGGACCCCGTTCTATCAACAAGCACAAATGACTACGCTAGTAATACGAGTTGATTACTGCGAGATTAATGATAGCGGCTCGTGCCACACGCAGTACCTGGAGACCGTCAGCTAGACTATCAAATCCTCCCAAGCCTCGTAGCACACCTAATTACGCACAGCGAGAAGGGGCATTGCAGCACCATCCGAGACGAAGATGACACCCAACAGCAGTACGTCGACGGTCTTTATCTCCCCCGCTCCCGTCCCGATCCTCCATGGTTGATGCGCTAAGGTTTGGTTTACCATATTGATCGTTCCTATGCCGGCATCCTACACGAAGTATTGAGTGGAAGGCATGATACAAGACGCAATGATACTAGCTTACAGTCATGAACTTGCGCACGGCGCCGGCCGTCAGCTCTGCGAGCTTCGTGAGGTTGTTTAGCGGCGCATTTGGCCACGCACGAATCTGCCGCTCCGCAGAAACGTAGTTCGGCCACTGAATCATGATACCACGTGTTTGTCAGAGGTGGCTGTGCTGCAAGGGAGACGGAGGGGAACTCACGGCAAACTTGATCTTGAGAGTTGTAATGGGCTTGCTTTGCGAGTTGAGACGCAACTCATCTCTTCCCCGCAGAAGCTGCATGCACCGGTCCATGCCCGTAATAGGAACCCCGAGTAGACCGTTCTCCTTGATGAACCATAGAGGCATCGGGTTAATGCGCTCGAGAACTTGGCGGCAGCGTTGGTGGCTCCGAGTGCCAAATGGTACAAAGAGTGTCGACGGAATGGGTCGCAGAAACTGGGGACCGTCTGGGGCAATGACGTCCACGATATGATAGAACGGCCATTCGGCGTTAAGTGATGTGTAGACTGGGGCGTCAAGGGAGGATGATGATAGAAAGAGAGGAATAGCGCCGTTCAACGTTCCTTCTTCGACACCCCCTGGAAGAAGCGAGAGCGGAAGGAAGTGCGCGGTGACGAAAGCGTAGAACGACATCTGTTCGTCTGTGGGGAGATTACCCCAGGCGCGGCGTGCAACGCGTAGAGCACGATCGACGGCTACGTCTACGCCAAAGACGCGAGTTAAGACTGTCGTGCACAGCATGAACCTAAGGTATTGCGTTGCAGGTCCAAGTTCGTCGGGAGGTAGATCATCAAAGGAGGCTGGGTTGGCGTGGAACATTGGTACTCGGGAGCTTGTGACTGAGCCTACAACCTCGCTTATTGCGCGAACTAAGTACTCGGGGGCATTCGAGCGCTTCGAGATCATGAGTGACAGCAGTACTTCTCCAGCAGGAAAACAGGGACGCATTCTGCGTGAAACTTACCTGAGAAGACTGCGCGATTCGAGGACGGCACAACTAGCTTGACATCACAGAAGCGAGTGACCGAGAGTGCGCGATCTGTGGAAGCCGCGCGATCAGGATTGGCGACGCAGAAGTGAGTGGGCGGGGGTGCGCGATCTGTGGAAGCTGCACAATCAGGGATGCAGATGACGCAGAAGCGAGCAGTGGGCGGGAGGGCGCGATCTGTAGAAGCTGCACGATCAGGACTGATGCAGGTGACGCAGAAGCGAGTGGGCGGGAGCGCACGATCTGTGGGAAGAGGCTGTGCAAGTCATGAGCAGAGAAAGAACGCCAGATTGCTATATGAGGCTTTCACCTGGCACATATCCGGATGACGAAGGCGGGTGGCCAACTGTTCCGGCTCAACAAAGGGTATCTACGAACGTCAAGGGCGTCCCATCCTGGCCCAATAATAACCACCTGTCAACCCTCATATGTATCAGGATCAGGTATAAGAGCGCTCTCCAACCATATCCAGCTGGAAGGACTGGTACGCCATGCAACCGAGCACGTTGGTAAGTAAGGAGGTCTAGCAGCTTCAGACATTCATATACATCTTTTGGACTTCTGTTATCGAAGAGTAGACCTCTACTTTATGAGCAGCCACTTGGAAAGTTATACGTGCTAAATTCGGAGCTTGTGAGAGCATCGTTTGTAGCGCCCGCATGCTACATCATGGTGGTGCTTGCGGTCTTCTTCTATACATCGCTGCCCCAGAAAGATGAAGTTAATGCAGCGCTGGCAAGACAACTGTCAATGTAGGAGAGCTCATGAGAAATCTATGAGTCTCTGACGTACTCGTCAGATCGTGTATGTAACGCTGGAAAGTAGTAAAGAACTGGTCGTATACAGGTGCATCCTCATAAATTGAGTATTCCTTCGTGCTCTATGTGCTGTTCTGAGTGTCCTGCCGCAAGGTGACGTGTAGCTATGTGACCGTGATGGTCGTTGTGAGCGAACGCGGGCGGCGGCAGCGCATGATAAGCAGAGACTGAAAGCGGCTAATAGTTCTCACGCTTGCGTAGCCACACGCCGCGCCGAGGTCCTCGTTCTTGTGCGGCTCAAGTCGAGTTGCCTCCTGCTTGCATGTCCTTTGCCAACTTTGCGTCCCAGTACCTTCAACGACAGCGACTGGCGGGAGCGTCGAGTCTTGCGACATCGCAGCCACTATTCTATTCGTTCAGCACCGAGGACGGTGGAGAGCGGTCCCGTGCGCATGACGCCGAGCACGAGTTAGACGACGTTGATGACCCCCACATGCGCGCTTCCACCTCGGACGATGGACTAGGGGACGGCGTAGGAGCGAGCAGTAGCCGAGGGTGGCTGGCGCATCAGCCGACTGTGCTGAGGAGTCCGAGCGATAGCAGCGAGCAGACGAGCACAGGCAGCTCCAGTCCACCCCCAGATATATTCAACACTCAGCGGCCACCAGACCGGAAGACGCAACCAGTGTCTCCCACGCCGCCGCCACCGCCTCGGTCACTGGCCGTCGATCTGACGGAGAGTCTACTACCGCGAGACGCGTCGCGGCCTCGGTCGCTGTTCAGCCTGCCCGATCCTCGCTTCCCCGCTCCACGGCGCAAATATCACGACGCAACATTCACGACCGCATTCCTCGCCGCAGTCTCAGCAATATACATTTTCTGCATCGTACTGCTATTCGTCACCGCATCTAACCCTCGACGGCGGGTCTACACCACCCTCCTTCACACCATCCCGCTCCTCGCTATCGTCACCTTCCTATCAGCTCTCGTCTCATACGCTCATATCCTCCTATTACGGCTCTTCGTCAAACCAGTGGTACTCGCCACATCCGTCTTCGTCCCTCTCGCCTTACTATTGAGCGCGCTCTGGGCTTTCGTCGGCAGCTTCATCTGGGACCCTTCAGTCCAACCCACATGGGGCGAAACATGGGGTCTACGCATATTCTCCCTCGTCCCGCTCGTCCTCGCAATAATCACCGGTCGCCGCCTCGTCCACCTCCCAACACACATCAACTCCACATCCGGCCTCCTAACCCTAACGACGCGCGTCCTCTCCATCCAACCGGTCCTCTTACTCCTCTCGCCCTCGGTCTTACTCGCCTTCCTCCTCGGAAGCATCCCCTTCCTAACCCTCGCATTTCGCCTCCTCCTGATCGGCTACACCACCTCCAAACCGGCCGGAAGAGTCGAATACCACGTCGCGGCGTGGGCGGACTGGGCGATTGTCGCGACAGCCGGCGTATGGGTTTGGGCGTGGGGCGTGGCGAGGGGCCTTTGTAGGGTGACGACCGCGGGCGTGGTTGCGGCGTGGTACTTTGCCGAGTAAGTCTCAGTTATTACGCGATTTGGAAAGTGAACATGCTTGAGCTGACGAATATCCTTTTTGGGCGTTTATCAGTCCCGAGGCGCCCCCACCCCCGCCACAGTCGACTCACACGCTACACGCGGCTTTGCATCGCGCGATCCATCCATCGCTCGGGACGATATGCCTTTCGGCCCTTCTACTGGCGCTTGTGCGCATGGCGACGGGCGCTTCGTACGCGCTGCGTCGTCTTCCGTCGTACCTGCCGCTCCCGTTGCAGATCTACGCCGGCCCGGTGATCTATGGTGCGCAAGTTGCCGCCGGCGCACTGGAAGCCTGGGCGGGGAGGTTTGGGAGATACGTGTTGGTATACGTCGGTGTCACGGGCGAGGGCTTTTGGCCTAGTGTTGGACGTGCGGGAGGGTTGACTACGACCGAAAGGAGAAGAGAAGGCGAGGCGTGGAGAAGGAAGTTCAGGACTGAACGTATGTGGACATACTTCATCTTGTTGTGGCCCAAGCTGATTGCCGTTTATAGCTCCATTGACTTTGCTCACCATCACACCTCTCACTTGTACACTCCCCTTCGCGCTCGGGACCTACCTCTTCGTCGCGCATACACTCGGTGCGCCGGACTTCGCATTGGAAGCAGCGCTCCTGGCCGGGACAGCGACCGCGCTTGTTGGCCTATTCTGCGTGGGCATGGTCAAAGACGCGTACGTCTCCACATTCTCGTTCGATCTTTCCTCACAATCTCATCCTTATATTCTGTAGTGCGGACACGCTATACCTCTGCTACACCATCGACCGGGAAGCCGGCGAGCGCCGCGTAGGCCGCGAAGAGGTCGCAGCCCTCTTCGACGCCGCACCCCAACGCACCCAACAACAGTCCCAACAACAGCGCGCAGCATCCCGCGCATCCAACGCCCAACGTCCGCGCCCACCCACAGCCGAACCGCGCGCCGACGCCCCCATATCGCGGCGCGTAGAAGGCATCGAGAGCCCGATGGCTTCGCCGCCCAGTCACAGTCGTTCTCCACAACATCCGCCGCAACATCCTCAATATCAACAGCAGCAGCAGAGATACGAGGACCAGTACCCTGTTGTTGAGGAGGAAGATGAGGGCGATATCGATCCGTTCTTGAGGGCCGATACGCCCGAGAGCGAGAGCGGGGCGAATGTGCCGGGGTACAACCTCGGTGGGAGTGGCGGGAAAGTCCTATACGACGCTGGAGAAGACAGCGACGATAGTGTTTCTATCTCTGGAGATCGATCTGTGTCAGTGGCGCCGGTCGACGCGTCGATGAGGAGAGGGAGGGACGCGGAGGAAGGGCTGGGGAGGAGCGAGGCTGTTACTAGTGCGAGTGCTATGAGCCAGAGCGAGGGGTTGGGCGGGATGTTCCCTGCTGGTTCGGACTTGTTCTGAGTAGATGTTCGTGTCGCTTATGATCTTTCTTGTTTCTTGCGCATCTTGTTATCGTTAATGAGGTTTTTGTTTATCTTGTATATGGAAATCACGGGGGAAAGTGACTGGTATGGCGGTCCGAACGTTCGGAAATAGGACCATTTGTATCGCACAACACGCACGCGAGTTCATTACCAAGTTTGCGCGAGTTTAATTCCCATGTCTTCCCAGTTGTGCCGGGGTCCGGGGCCTCTGCCTCCTGCCCTCCCGTCCCGTCGACCGTCCCGTGAGCTCAGGTGTATAGCTGCTAATTAGAGCTACCGAACGGTACCCGATTTGCGAGGACAAGGGAGGGGCGGAGGAAGCGAAAGCGCGGTGACGCGGCGGCCTGAGCCGCGTGTTTGATTGACGCGCACACGTGTGTTGCCGCGTGTGTCGCAACTCGCGTCGCCGCCCTCCTTGACTTTCACCAGTCTTATGGCAGAAAAACCCGCTGATACGCGCGTCTTGCGCACGTCACCGTGATCTTCTTCGTCGACTCGATGCATCGAGGCGACCGGAAATACCGGGCTCACGCCAAAGCATTGTTGTCAACCGTGAGCCGGAAAGCTCAACACGGACATATTTTCGAGAGACAGTAACGACAGACAATCGCAAACGACAGAACAAAGAAACCTGGGTGTCTAAAAACATTATTCAAAAGTCGGTTGAGTGGCCAATGCCTATCATCTAAGCAACCACCGTGGTGGCCGACGCGCCGACCGTGGAGGTGGTAGTGCTCGCACCAAGACTGATTGAAGTGCTCGCGAAGCCACCTGTGACTACCGGCGCACCGACCGCAGAAAGGGTAGTGCTCGTACCGGTGCTGATCGAAGTGCTGGCGAAGCCGTCTGTGACTGCCGGCGCACCGACCGCGGAGAGGGTAGTGCTCGCACCAAGACTGAGTGAAGTGCTGGTGAAGCCGTCTGTGACTGCCGGCGCACCGACCACGGAGAGGGTAGTACTCGCACCACGACTGATTGAAGTGCTCGCGAAGCCGCCTGTGACTACCGGCGCACCGACCACAGAGAGGGTAGTGCTCGGACCGGTGCTGATCGAAGTGCTAGCGAAGCCGTCTGTGCCTACCGGCGCACCGACCGCGGAGAGGGTAGTGCTCGGACCGACACTGATTGAAGTGCTCGCGAAGCCGCCTGTGACCGCCGGCGCGACGACGACGAAGGTCGTAGCGCCGTCGAGGACAGACGAAGTAGCCCCGCTGCTAACAGACGTAGTAGCCCCGCTGCTGACAGACGTGGTAGCCTGGCGGGCGACAGGCTTAGCTACGACTGATGTACTGTCAGCGAAAGTTTTGACGAGATGAAAGGAAAGAAGTATAGTACCAGCTACGACGGCGTAAGTCAAGAGGCAAGCAAGAGCGCTCTGGAACTGCATGACGACGGATATGGAATGCACGAGTGATTGAGGAGCTCTAAAGTTGGTGTACGGGGTACAAGCTGAGACATCGACATCGCTTTGGTGCGGCCTTTATAGCCATAGGTCAGTAACTGCACACAAGAATGAGTGAATCCACCAGTGAGCGCGCCGGCGGATCGTGGCCACATGAAGAGCCTACAGCTACTGCTGATGAGTCGCGCCAAATGCATGATTCTGAGGCTTGAAGTCGCCGGTCAAAGACTGTCCAACACAGCCTCTCGTTGACCCTGCTTTGCAAGCATCGTCAAGAAAGATTAGTCTTGCGAGCACAGAGCTCTGAGCGCACTGAGTCAGCCTGATAAGAGTAGGTTGGATGTGACGGCTACAGCGCCCATTGAATCTGCATCGACAAGCTTGGCGAAATTCATGGGCTTTCCAGGCCGCACAAGCGAGCCTGCGGTTGCACTGAGGACAGCCTCACTCACCTTCTCTTCGTAGGACGCGCTGACTGCTACAAACGCATGCGCTTCTACGAAGCTCGTAGCCTCAGCAATCCACTCAGAAGCGCACCATCGGAGTCGTGTGAGAGAAATTTCGCAACCACGTTTTGGTGGGTGTACTTACGATCTACCCGTGACCCCGACGCAAATCGGTGAACTACTCACCGACTGATCCCGTAGTGCGTAACGCTCCGGGGCCGTGAACCTGATTTAGTACAGTATGAGCACGTAGACACCGCAGATCTGTGTATCAATTCTTGGCTGCATAGCACACTAACAATGTGGTTCTGAAGCACATTGCATACACATTAGCAACTAGAGATGCTAAACAGTGCCAAACTCGGAGGACACCGTGCTCACCTGACTTGGTATAACCAGCCTCCGTTGCCTTGTCGCGCGTCATCGGCGGAAGGGCGAGATTCAAATGCGTAAATAGTCAATGCGACTGGTACAACGATGCACTGTGTATGTGGATTATCGACTATGTTGAACGCGCAACGAGCAACAAGAGACGGGCGTGCGAAGATTGATGTACTGAAGGGTAGAATTGCGAACGCCATCAGTACAGACGTAGGTGAATACTCCTTCGACCTTCCACAGTGACCACTCCCTCCCATCCTTTATCACGTCCGCTTAACCCTCACAATCCCCGGCTTCTTCGAATTGAACCCGACACTATGCATCCCATGCGTCCACGTAGAACACGTATACACGTCGCCCTCCCCATCCTGAAAGTGGAACTTCCCGAACACCTTGTCGACAAAGACGATCTCGTACTCGTACAGGATCCCGTTGATCCTGCGGAGAACGTATCCTCGGAGTCCTGTGGATTCTTGCATGGACGAGGAGAGCTCTTGCCAGTCTTTGTGCACGGGCCAGTTCACGTCGATCCAGTCTCCGGAGGAGAAGGAGTTGCTTTGGAGAGCATCGACGCCCTACAGGTTGAACATCAGCATGAGTTTTGAGAAGGGACTGTTGACGAAGGCTGATGGGCTCACCCAGCTGTCCTGAGGTGCGACATCGGCGCCTTTGGCATCCGAGTCGACAGTGAAGCTACCGACGGCGTAGCTGTCCCCATTCTGGCTCGTCTCGGTCGTGTAGTTGTCGGGCTGACCAGTGGGGACTGAGATCGCAGGTTGTGCCATGTCTATCGCGGGTAAAGAGCCATGGAGACAATGTTAGTGAGTCCATGGGCGTAAACGATCGAGCGTCGTACGGTTCGTCTAATGGTGAGGATGTCGGCTTTGGGGAGCTACGGCTCACAGAAGGCCCCGCTACTCGACCTATATACGGGCACTTGGTCTGCTATTCCTCTCTATGCGCCTCATCACCATCCTAAGTCCCTCTAGCGTCTCATCGGGCAGAAAACGTTGCCGCGTTGGCGCGAGGCGTAAAGTGCAGGAAAGCTATAATGACACGGCCGCTGGGATGCAGCCGGGATTGCCTGTCCCGGAGTCCAAGTCGTAAAGCGCAGTCCGAACAGAGCCGTTGTATGGCCGCCAGGCTACGGACGGGTGGGCTGTCAGCGCTACTCCAGGCACTTGGGCTGCCTCGAGTTCCAATCGAGAGCTTGAAGCAGGCGTTCTAAGACTAGTGCGCCGGGCACCGCACATCGGCACTGTCTGCACAGTTCGTAGTGGTCAAGAAGTCGCGCTTCATTAGACGATGCAGCGTGTTGATACCCGGACTGAAGAACCGTAAGCCAAATGAGTTTGATGATGAGTACCGGTGCTGAGTGCTGACGAGGGCCTCCGCGAGTCGAAATCGCCGGCTGACAAAGCCGTTATCACCGATGCGGTCTTTCGGTTGCCTGTTCTCGCTCATCGGCGGTGATGTTGAGCACATCCGATCAACAGACCGGCTTTGTCATCCAGATATGGCTTTCCTCATGAGCGAGCAGTTTGAGTCTGGTTTGAGCTTACAGTGCAACTAGGGTATGTTTTGGTTGGTATAAGAGTTGCATGAGCGTTGCGAAGAGAGGCAGCAAAGCCAGCCAACTCTCGAGCTCAACAACTTGAACCCTATCTAACCTTTCATCCGAATCTTGTCCGCATCTTATCGCCGACCGATGACGTCTAACGCGCCCTCTCACCACGCTGCTATCGTCGCTACCCGTTTGGGCGGTCCATTGCAGACCATCACGGTTCCCACGCCGTCTCCGGGCCCAGATGAAGTCCTCGTTCGTGTGTTGTGGGCTTCGCCTACACCTTTCAACAGTGCGTATTCCATTCCTATCATATGCACGATACAGTCCACCTCATACATCCTGTTTGTAGACTGGCAGAAAGACTTTGGGCTGGCCGTGGCCGAATGGCCCGCCTTTCTAGGCGAGAACTCCGTGGGCACAGTGACTGCCCTAGGCTCTGACGTGACATCTCTCGACGTCGGCGACGTCGTATTCGGCTATACGCACGGACCTCCCAAGGTCCAATCGTTCCAGGAATACATCGTTGTACCCGCCCGTCGCCTTGGACGTGTTCCCGCCAGTCTGGATCCTCGCGCGGCTGCTACAGTTCCAGGCAACTTCATCACAGCTTGGTGGAGCTTCACGCATTATCTGGGTGTTGGGTTGCCGTATGACTTGCCTGCGAAGGAGAAGCCTGCCAGGTATGACGAGCCTATACTGATCTGGGGCGGAGCGACCTCTGGTAAGTCATGACCATATCATCACTTTAATCGAGTGAAGCCGCTGAAGTACTGTTGAAGTCGGTCAATACGCCATCCAGATCCTGAAACAAGCGGGGTACACGAACGTCATCACAGCCGCATCCCCGCGCCACAGCATACTCCTCAAATCCTACGGAGCCCGCATCATCATTGACTACCGCGCCCCTCTCGCAGACGTCCACGCCGCGCTCCTCGACGCCGCGAACGGACAGAAGTATATGAAGGTCTTAGACTGCGTCGGACACGATAAGAAGACGATCGCGCTGTATCGCGATGTCGTGGCTGCCGGCGGGACCGTTGCTTTACTGTTGCCCGTACAGATCTCGGACGAGAAGGGGGAGGTCGTGAGTGCGCAGAGTGTGGATAGCGATTTCGGTGATTTCCCGGAGGGCGTAAAGTCCGTGGGCGTGCGGACGCACTTCTATCAGACTGTAAGTCGGTCATGCGATGCTAATAATGTGCAATGAAGAGAGAGCTTACCATCATACTAGGACGAGGAGCTCTATGAGAAGCTTCAGCCGGAGGTCATGCCGCGGCTGTTCGGCTCAGGCGTCATCAAACCGAATGCGTTCCGCGTCGTCGAGGGCGAGTCGTTACAAGAGCGAGTGGTACGTGGAGGCCATCCATATCTTGAAGGACGAGTTGAAACTAATTATACGATGCTCTAGGACGAGAGCCTTAGGCATTTGCGGGAGGGACTCGTGTCGGGCGAGAAACTCGTCTTCGCAGTAGATGCATAGGCTGTCGTCATACGTGTGTCAAACGTGTGTAGCAGTATGTTGAAGTTGTGTTGGAAGCCCGACGCGTAGGAATCTTAGCATCGGTGTGACTATCCGATTATTTAATCGACTAGGTATTATTGACTTGGTGGAACTGGCAGTTCTGCATTGCACCAACGCCACCATTGCCGTGACGGAGAGCGACGAGGTCGCGGGGGAGTGGGCTTCTGAGGGTACAGACTGGTGTATATGATGCTGTAAGATATCGTATGCCAAGAGAAGAGAGGCCGATAGCTCAGATGTGGCATTCAAGCACGGCCTTGGAGTCAACCTGTGATTCAGGGTGGAAGGAAGAGGGCAAGACGCGGAAGACGCGGCGCGACGCAGGACTGCGTGGTTTGAGGTTAGGGTTAGGGTCCACGCTCTAGATCCGACAGTTCCGACCATCATGGTGGTATTTTCTGCATTGTTCTTTACCTGGCAACCACATGTATACAGACAGGCCCATTCATCAGAACTAAAGGGCGTGAATCGTGAATGGTCCTTCATCAAGGCAAGCCGACAGAAAAGGGTAAAGAATGTAGGACTAGCTAGTGCGTAAGCCGAAACGGTCCGTCTGAAATCAAGAACATATACGGCCATAAATGGGGAACGTCGCAAAGAGGCGAAATCAAAAAGCGCGAACGAGAAGGACGATTAAAGGGGTAAACCGATGGTGATGCTCTGGTATAGGTATGCTGCCGCGGCCGGCCGCTATGTACGTACGTACGAGTCCGCTCCTCTCAAATCATCTACATGATACAACACCTCCGCTTCCGAAGGGAAAAGACCTCCACACTCCATATTTCACAACCAACAGACGGGCATCATGGTCTTAGTTGTGCGACGTCGTGGTCCAGCTATCGAGCGCGACGCTCGGCGGCGTGACGAAGTCGCTGTCGCTCATACCGTCCCACTGCGGGTTGAACAACACCTGGATGTTATACGTCCCCGCATCCAGCGCGATCGTCAAGACGGTAACACCGTCGTTCGGCTGGTCCGTCTCGCCCGTGGGCAATGCGGGGTCCGTCGACAAACGCACGGCATCTTGCGTGGTGAACTTCGCGCCGGACGAGGGCGAGATGAGCTTGATGGTCATCGTCTTGCCGTCGAGCTTGAGCGTGGCGGTTGTACCGGCGCTGTCGAGCGTGACGGTCGCGTTGGTGTGCATGCGCCATTGGAAGGAGGTCGTGGCTGTGATCTCGTCTTGGAGAAGGACCTGCTTGCGGGCGTTGAGCGTGCGGATACCGCGCTTCAGCTGTGTGCTAGATAAGACCAATCGTGTCAGAGAGCGTTGCTGTAATAGGAAAGCAAACGCGCACGTACCTGTTCAAGTATGCTGAGCTGATATCAGCCGTGAAAAACGCCGCGCTGTCCTTCGGCACATCATAGACCGTCGAGCTTCCCTGTGCCTCGCCCGTAGTGCCGAACTTGGCGGTGGGCGCAGCATTAACATCCTGGTTGTTCCCGTCCACAAGGATCGTGTTCTGGCCCTCGGTACGCTTGCGGTAGTACAACCACCTCTGGCTGTCCTGCGCGTCGGTCGAGAAATATCCAGTCGAGAGATAATCACCATCACCGAGCTCACCCGCCCAGCGCGTGCCCAAAGCGTCAAGGACGAAATCACCGACGTCGAGGTCGTTGTGCGTTTGGTGGCCGAGGTTGGTACCGGCCTTGATGGCGACGAAGAGCGCATTGGCGTCAGTCCACGAGGAGCGCATCGACGCCCATTGGTCGGTCGAGTTATCGAAGTAACGGTCGAGGGGAAGACCATCCCAAAAGGCACCGGTAACAGCGGGATTGTACCAGAACATGCTCCACGGGTCTGCGGCGTCCCATTGATCGCGCTGGTAGAGCTGATAGGCGGGGTTGTTGAAGAGGTCGCCGTAGAACAGGAGTGCGTTGGCGGTGGCAGTGAACTTGTTCGGGCCGTTGTCACCCCAGTTGAAGAGCGAAGTCGCGCCCTGAGCGTACATGTGGAAGTAACCGGTGAGGTTGAAGCCCTGCGACTGGCTGTCCATGCCATAGACCGAGCCGGTAGCGGTCTGAAGCGAGCTGGCCATCTCGGCGAACCCGGTGGAACCGAAGTACCAGTAGTCGTTCGTCTCTTGCCATGTACCGTCGGGCGTCGGTGCGATAGAGCAGGCCTGAAGAGCGTTCGGAACGGTGTTCGCCAAGATCTTCTCGGCTGTGCCAGTCGTATCATCGCCAAGAATGGCGAGGGCCGCCATGGTCAGACCGTTGTTGCAGACACAGTTCCAGTTACCCTGCGTCGTAGAGGCCTTCCACCATCCCCAGTAGTTGGTATCTCCCTCCTCGTAGATGTTGATGCCGAGGTCAAGACCATATGTAATGATGTTCTGGCGCATGGTCGTCTTTTGATCGTCGGTGAGGACGTCATAGAGCCAGTCGTACGCGATCGCGTGCGCAGCCATCATTTCTGCCGTATCGAGGAAGTGAACGGGGTTCCACTTTGTGTTGTTGTTGGGGCCGTAGCTGTCCGACACGGTGTTCTGGAAAGATGAACTGAGGACAGTCCGAGCGCAGAAAAGACGGAGATACACACCGCAATTTCGGCGTACGCGAGGTCGGCCCACTTGGTGTTGTTGGTCATGCGGTAGGCGTACGAGTAGACTTTCATGCGCTGCTTGACCTGTCGGGCGGCGTCGAGAAGACCATTACCGGTAGCACCACCGTCGAGGTAGTATGGTACAACTGGCAAGTTGCTGAAAGTAGTAGCGTTGCCGAAGATGGTCTCGTTCCAGCCCTTGAGGTATGCGTCTTGTGCGATGAGATCGGGGAGGACGGCCCACTTGTAGGCGGGCGCGATCAGGCGGGGGCGGTCGGGCCGGACGCTGGTGGCGGCGGGGGAGGAGGCGGTGAATGTGTCGGACGGCCATGCGACGTCGGCTTGTGCGTTGTAGGTGGGAGTGGTGAATGCTGCGGCATTTGTCTATTTGTCGCATTAGTTTATGTCGCACGACTGGGAAAATGGAAGGCAACGTACTGTGGAAGGGTAGACGGGCAACATCCACTCGTAGTTGGTCGTCGTCGCGAAGCGGCCGATCGCGTTCTTGGCGCTCACGGCCGCACTGGCGCTGGCGGGGCTGCTGCTGTCGCCCGAGGACGAGCCGCCGGATGCAGAGTCGCTGCTGCTGCTATGGCGCGTGCCGAGCACCACGCCGACGACGACACCGACGACGACGAGAATAGCAACTGGAATGCCAATCTTGACCCATTTGGAGACGCCGGACCGTGGCTTGACGCCGCCCTGGGCGATGTAGCCGGTAGAAGCCGAGTAGTAGGGGTCGCCGGAGCCGTAGGGCGTCTGGCCGGTGCCGTAGGACTCGTTCTTGTGAGCGTACGGGTTTGAGTGTAGGTCCACTTGGGAGTGCGCGTTGACCGGGTCGTACGACATCGCGCTGCGACGTGGAGGTACGATTCAAGGTCAGAGAGAAAGAACGACGACGGTGGGAGACAGAGACAACGCGCAGAATGCACACCCCGTTGCCGCCTCCGCGGGTAAACATAGACCATCATTTCACTCTCATTCCAAGAAAAGCTTGCACTCTCTCTCTCCCGCCACCACGAACATTGGGCACTCTCCGAATTAGAATGGTCTATGCATGTACGCTAAGAATAGTACGAGAAAGTCACGGAATGTTCTTCCTCAGCGCATCGTCGGCTTTGTCCACAAATAGATCCCGCCCTGAACCCAGCCAGACCTCGTACCGACCACGCTGATCTCGAACGCCGAATAGTGATCTCGTGGACTCGGACTTCTTGCCCTATCACCACTGCATGCATGCGAGGTGCCAGGTTCAGCGATCGATGCTCTCTAGTGACTATCACTACTATGCAGCGATGGTTCCCTCCACAACCTTCACAACATACCCCGCCAGCTTGACAAGCCCCTTCTCCTCGTCGAGGATGACCCACAGATCCCCTCCTCTAGAGCTAACCTGATGCGAGCGCATCGTCTGTCCTTGTATGCCCAACTTTTCCGTCCAGTACGGCGCCAACAGTGCGTGCGCCGAGCCGCACACGGGGTCTTCATTCATGCCGAGCACGGGCGCGAATACCCGAACTTCGAACGTCACGCCAGCCTCGCGGGCTGCGGAGGACGGTCGGGCGGTAAAAATGTGGTCTGTGAAGCCCGTATTCCTCTACAAAGTCGCTTAGTATCTTCGCCTCCCCGAAGAGTCAAGCGAATTCAACGAACAAGGTGATCGAAATTGACAGTCAAACCCGCCAAATCATCCGTCCCGACCTCGATAAGACTGTAACATCCGTACGCAAGACCAACTCCCGCTCCCAAGTACACGACAGTCAGATCTGCGCCACACGCAGCAGCGACCGCCGCCCGAAGCTTCACCGCTCGAGGATCCTCTCTAATCAGATCCTCAACCCTCGCCACCTCCAACGCAACCTCAATCTTCCCGTCGTCGACCTTACTCCCCGTTAGCGAGTTCTCTAGCCCATTGAAATTGAGCGTCCGTGCGGCTTTGGCTCCTTGCATATAAAACGGGCTACCCGGCTCCTCTCCGAAGATCAAGCCGCTTGCGCAGAACGTTGCGTGTCCGCAGAGTACAACTTCCTGTGTTGTCATAATCCACCGCACTCTGAACGCCTCAGGATCGTCCGTAGGGGTGACGAAGATGTGCATCGGCTGGTTCAAATTACGCGCGATGGTGAGACGTTGCGCATCTGTCAGCGATGCGTCTTGTTCCGGTGTGGTTCGGATGACGGCTGCTGGGTTCCCTCCGTCAATTCGGGTCGTGAAGGCGTTGAGGATGGCGAACGGGAGCTTGAGGGTCGTCATGATGGTTGGGAGAGAGAGAGAGCTATCGCGACGCGGAATATAGACGCTGAGGATAGGATCAGCTGGACGATATCGGTGTGAGGTTGGTGTGACTCGACGGAAAGAAGAGCGGGTGGCGAGCCGGCGGGATGCTGCTCACAAGTTACTTGACGTTTCACCGTACTTATGTTCCTTGTGCCATATGCACGCCACGAACCAATATACCTCGCTATACAGATAGAGCAAGCACAAGGCGACTTCTGCGTGAATTGGGTTGAACAGCACATGGTATAAGTACATGAAGAGATTCTTCCTGAAAGAACGAGTGACGGATGTTGAGCAGCAAAACGGTGGGGGGTGGGGTCCTTTGACCAATAGTGGCTCGTGATGGTTGGGAACGGTCTTGATGTTCGTCTGAAGACGGGGCCCTTCGCCGTGCCCTGTCGCATTGTACACGAGAGGGTTCGGGCTGTAATGCATGTCGTATACGCCCAAGTGCGCTTCCAGCTTTCAGCGCAGCGACCAAGTTGGTGAGAAAGAACATTGGATTGTTGACCGTCCAAGGAAATCAAATTCGTGAAAGTTACAGAACCACACTACATAGCCAACGTGACGAGGCAACGCAGAGTACAGTGTAGTCGTGCGTTACAAGCCCGCAAGTATGGTCGTGGTTGGAAAGAACTGGCAGGCGGCCGGAGGTTTCCACGATCGACTCCTGAGCGGAGTTGGTAGCGGAGTTGGTAAGTAACACGCGACGTCGGTAATGCGTCTACGCGCGGATGTTGTTACCTCGCCTCCTTCAACGACGACGACAACGTTCCCGACGTATCTATAGTTGCTCGTCAGCTCGCTTCGTTCTTGAGTAAGCACCACAAGGCTCGACACTACCTCTACGTTCGGCTTCACGATGTGGACACTTCCGGCATCGCATTACGCCCTCCTATCTCGCATATCCCCACCGACCCATACGCTTTGAAGTTATCTCGAATACCTCATCACGCACCACTGAACCCACGTATCTCTTTAAGGAATGGCGAATACCTCCTGGAGATAGAACTATGGAACCACCTCGCCGTAGCCGGCTACGCGCCCAAAATTCGTCCGGACAATTCAGCACGGCCACACGAAGATTCTCTCGCAATGGAAGGACCCAGAAGAACCCGTTCAAAGGACTCCTGAATATGACCGCTCTATTGAGGATATGGCAGAGTCAGGCGGAGGGTTGGACATCAAGTTATGGGCGAGGGTGTTGAGCGAGATGTCGGAATGGTGCGCGCGGTCGTTGCATTTCTTCTATGTACAGAACGGGGTTCTGTTATCAATATGTCACATCCGTATCCGTATGCTGGGACCGCCTTGTTGGGTGCCTGTCTGTGCATGGGCGTGGAATGACCTTACCTTGGACCTGTTTGCAGAGCCAGTTGTCGCGTGCTGTATCATCTTGACCCCTAACGAACCGGGATATACTGCCTTTTGTCCTCGGGTGCTGGAGACTTGACCGAAGTCTTCCATTAGCGTTGAGTGCTGAGTCTGCAGGTGCCGAGGTCAGGTCAAAACCCCGCCCGGCTATGCACTTCACGGACACCGGCACCGTTTGAAGGTGGCCATGGCCGAAGTTATCGGCGCCAGTGCTCCAGAAGGTGTCACTGACAGTTATATGTCCTGCATTGCTCAGCCGACACCACCTTCATACGGTTATCGATCGGCAATGGCAGAGTATACCGACAGTACACCATCTTCATCATACTCATCGTAATGAGCGCACCCTAATACAGGTCGCTGGACGTCCCGACCGGACAAGCGAAGCCCTAAGGGACGCATCTTGCATCACAGCGTCTCAGTTCTGACCCGTGCGAAGTCCCGAGAGCCGTCGAAGGCGAAGGGTGTCGAATCATGTAGAGCGCCTTTCCTATTGCAGGGCTGGGTATGTGTTTTCTGGTTGTTGGGAGTGGCGATGGAGATACTGTCAAACGTGTCGCGGGACTGGGTGGAATCGAACAGGAGTGCGTTGACACTTCCTAGGTGGCCTTGAGGCGAAAAGCTGGGGTCGACGCCGAATATAAAAGCAACGTGCCCACGTCTACAACGCCTCGACGCAGTCTGCCTCCTACACACACGACCTGGGATATCAATGAGCACTTCAGACGCCACGTTCGCCGACGACGACACACCACCACCACCTTATCACGACGGTGGTCCCGTCCAGCGACTGCCCTCGTACCGACAGGGGCTTCTGGCGCGTTACCACCCATATGGACGATGCACACCATCTCTCCTCCAACGGCTACTGGTATGCGACGCACGCACCCGTTGACAGCCCATCTGCTAACCAGTCCTCCAGCTCACTCCCCATGCCTACGAAGACTACGAGCCCGCAGAATACGACGTCGTTGTAGGCGGTGAGCTCCCATCTTACGAGAGTGCAGAGGCGCTCATCGTGCTGGCAAGGTTGGGATATACCCTGGAGTTGAAGATGATGCCGCGGCAGGCTCCGCGGTCGTCGTTGGCGAACATACGGTGCGTGTTGGAAGTGGACTTATGTCTTGCGTCTTGTGATGTTGAAGTGGAAGTTGACCCGGTTTCAGAACACGCCTTCTCCGTCTTCGTCTACTAGTGCTCAACATGTATCACACGATGTCACTAGCACGTCTCACAACGCGCTGAGCTCCTCGGCACACGTCGACCGGCCTGTAGCGTCTGCGTCGCGCTCACTCAAGCGCAAGCGCGATGACAGGCGACGACTTTGAGGGACAGGGCGATCCCGAAAAAGCGCTCACCCAACTACGTCCACGCCTCTCGTCCCATCAGGGCTTCGCTCTCATCTCACGCTATATCTCGCTACAATAATCTTGCATATCTGCCTTGCTGTCTTGTTTTCTTGATGTACATCACGCGCTTCATGTTGCTCTCGTCTTGTCCTTGTGTATAGCAGTCGTCTCTTGATGCCTTGATGTTTTTGATGCCTTGAGTGCTTGAGTTTTTGAGGTCTTGATGTCACGATCACGATCACACGGGAAGACTGGCAGCAAGGAAATCCATTTGCGCGAGAGACGTGGCTGGTCGAGGAGAGGATGGGGGGTGGAGGCAACCCTCGACGCGTTGTACCCGGCGCGCAGCGTGCTCCGAACGCGTCCTCACGAGAGTCAGAGCGCGTGGTCCGTGGACCCGATGCGTTCCGGTCCGGTCCTTTGTCCGCGACTCCGATGCGCGCTCTCGAGTGTCGCTACGATACACTTCGACCACAGTGAAGTTGAGAGCGTCTATCTCGCTTGAGTCTGGCCTGCCATACTATTTGATAGTCACCCTATAAACTCCCAAGTCCCACGCTATTCGCACCTTGCACATCCCATCAGGCAGCCAGGCTCCAGTGCTCACAACAACGCTCGGGTGTATTGGTGTATGGTGATATTACAACGAGAAGGGGTGCAGTAAGAGACCATTGCATTTAATGACGAGAGTGTCAGGATGAGTGGTCTTGACAGAGGTCTACTAGGGCGGTACGGGGTAAACGTGCGGAAAGCCATCATCTTGACGGTAGTCCATATAATTAATTAATTCGTATAAGCGGGGGTGAAGGATGCGCAAGACATAAGCGGAGGTAGTCTCAGTGCTTGAAGATACGGGAGAAGTATATCTCAACACCTTCGTCAGCCTTGAGTAGTGCGCCGACCACTCCATCCGGACGAACGATTGCCACTGCCACGCCCAACTCCTTTCCATAAGCACGAGCGGCATGGCCATGCGAGTCAACAAATGCGCCAGCCTGCTTCTCTGCCCCCTCTGGCAGCAGTGTCACAACCACGATGTAGCCTTCTGGATACTTTTCAACCGCTGCACGAACGGTCTCGGTTCGGGACAGGCCAAAGACAAGAACGGTGTGCCGAGCAGCATGAAAGACGTCGAAGAGCGCCGTCTCTCCGCGTAGGCTGACAAGACCCGGAGCATCGGGTGCGCGATCGCCCGCCTCTAGCCTTGAGCCTCCGTCGCCTCCATAGGTACTTTGCGGTGCGAGGTTTGTACTTTCAAACTTCACCTCGCCCTCTCGTAACCCATCGTACACGATCGAGCTCCAGCGACAGTGCACCCCGAGCTGACCCAGGGTTGCGGGGCGTTTGAAGGCCTCGGGGTCAGGCTTGGCTTTGAATGTGGCAGTAGCGAGCTTCGTTGTGATCTTCAGCATTTCAGCAATGACGGGAACGCGTTCCTCGCTATAGGTGTCGAGAAGACTAGGCGGAGCGAGGCCTTTGCATACGAGCGCAAGCTTCCAGCTCAGATTTCTCTGCGCATGTCACAGCGTGAGCTCACGATATGACATGATGACGTCACGATGCCTACCACATCCATGACACCGCTAGTCAAGCCTTGACCACCAGTCTAGGGGGCGATAAGGATATGCTAACCTCTGCATGGTCAAGACTCACCGGGCTATGGAGATGGGCGACGTCTGCATCATGTCGAGAACATGTCAGGATACGCAGCGGGGATGATTATGGCAAAGACGAACCTCCGGCAAGCAGAATCCTTCCTGATTGAAACCTTTCACATATACGCACGTTGAGTCTAAGTAGTCGTAGCACATTGAGCAAGATATATCATGTTCAATGAAGAATAAGATACCTCCACTCAGCCAAAGATGACACCGAATCGATGGTCATTTCCGTACGCTTCGTCACAGAGCGTAGCCATTGCAAGAGATAATCGACGTCCGTCGCTGCCCGGGCGACATCAAGGGTCGATCCATGTCCAAAGATAAAGAACAGCCCTGGCGCCTCATGCACCGGACGCACCATGAGACTTATCGAGATGATGTAGGATCAGCAAGATGCATCATGGTTTCCATTATGGGGAGCATACCTATCCCCGCTCGCGTCACGGAACAAATGCATGTACTGGTGGTCTGTCAGATGACCCGATGCAAGTCTTACATCAATCGGTGCATACCTCAGTGTCGTAGAATCCGCGCAACACGACGTCTCCAATGACGGATCGGGCCTCGGCGTCCGATTGGTTTACAAGGCTGACACCTGCGAGTCTGCGGGTAACACCTATCGCACGAGTTATTGAATGCGATACCAGATGTCCGAACGAAGTACCTTTGCCACCATCCGTGCCGACAATGTACTTGACACGAATTGACCGCTCAGTGTCGTTCACGCGAGCAGTAGCAGTAGCACCATCATCGTCCTGCTCTATGCTGACGAGCTCATGCCCAAACTCGACGTTGATCCCGAATCGCTCTTTCAAGTGCCGGCTGGAGATCTTGCAAACCCAGTCCTGTCCTAGTACCCAAGCCTCTGGCTACGAGAGCTGTTGTAAGAGAGAAGATCGCATTGAAGGAGCAGAGTGCACGCACTTCGGGTACACTGGGTGTCTTCTGACCCCAGTCCATCATCTCGACGACCGCTCCTGGTCGCCCCTCCGCATCGTATGTCTGGACACGGGAGAGCAACGAGCCGTTGGCTTTGACTTCATCAGCTATACCGAGCATGCGGTACGTCTCCATCGTGCGCGGCTGTGAGATACACAGTAAGATTAGGAAAGAGGGATGACGCGACCTTATGGGGGACTTACTTGCTGACCGGCACCACGCTGGCCACTGGCAAGCGCTGGTAACTTTTCTATGACGCGAACCTTGACGCCATTCATGGCAAGAGCGAGGGCGCCGACAAGACCGACAGGTCCAGCACCGACCTGATAATGACCGCGTTCATGGTCAATGACGGGTCACGCTGGAAAGAATGCTATATGGCTCACGACGAGAACATCCGCATCAAAAGACATGGTGAGAGGTAGAGCTGGGAGTTGCTCGCCGGGAAGTCCGTTGTGCGATAGCTGTGGAGGGATGATTCAGAAGAGGGATGATCGCCTGGACAGGCAGTGCGGATATAAGAACATCGTAGGTATCTGCAAGTGCCGGCAGACACCGGAGATGATCTCCAGTCAGTGTGAGTCCTCTGATCTACGCACTTCTGCCGAGTGCTATCGTTGGTGGGCCGAGCGGCCTAACCGACCGTAACCGAAAGCCTCTTGAGCGCGCTTACAGAATGGTACAAAGTGGTGATCAGTAAACTGAGAAAATGGGTAGATGGGCTGGGTTTCCTAGAGCTTACAGCGCCCCTCCAGGACCATGCATAGAGCTCAACGATGCGTGCTGAGCGCTGAGTCTCTACGCACGGAATATCGTCTGGTGTGAAGGTCTCGCATGGTCTCGAGGACAAGTTGGTGTCATCCACGGCTAATTGTCCGTCGACAAGTGACTCTTATGCTACATCGAAAGTACAGTTTGGCATTCGGCGCTAACGTATGCAAAAATAGATACCGGTCTACTTCGAGTCATATCTGCCATGCGTCAGGTTGTGGTGGGGAGTTGGGAATGTGCGTTTTCGGTCTTCGACGCGCAAAGCTAAGCGCTCGATCATGTGCCCTTCACATACGGTAGAAGATGATATCGCGCCTGTCATCACTGTCTAAGAGGATTTGGCGGCACTCAGGGCTTGAGAGCTGGAGAGGTAAGGCAGTAGTTCATGCGAGTTCATGGGTAAGAGCAAGGAGAGCGCGGCGACAACGAAGCCGATGACGGCGGACTCCGGAGCGAAGCCGCCGGGCCGATCATGCCAGGCGGCCCAACAGGGAGGCCTGAGTAGGCCTGAGTCTTGCCTTCTACCACGACCACCCGCACACCGTATTACAATGACGAAAGATCTCTTTTGGCACGATCTTCAATTACACGCACTATCTGACTTTTGAGCGCCTACACTAACGTGCCATACTCGAACGGGTCCCACTCATTGAATCCAGCCCCGCTTCTTGAAGTCCTCGAGCGAGTCGCGCACGGTCTCCTCGATAGTGTGCAGCTGGAATCCGTACACGCGTCGGAACTGCGCCGTGTCAATGTTGAGCAGCGACCCCTTGCCTTTGGTTCCACCGGGCTTCGGCCCCTTGGGCAATTCGGCCCATGCGCGCGGTTGTAACGCATTGGCGATGTCAAGCACATCCTGCCCGTACCCACCGAACGATCCGATTAGCGCGCGAGTCCCGCCCGCCTGCGGCAACTGGGTCGCGCGCACATGCGCAAGCGCGATGTCTCGCACGTCGACGCCCCCGAGCGCTTTCGCCTGGCTGTCGTAGTCGGCATCCGGCCATGCCTTGGTCAGAATGTCGAAGAGCATCTTCTGTGAGGTGTTGAGCTTGTCGGAGCTGTTGACTTCGTGGATTGGCGGACCCCAGATGTAGGGTGGGTTGAGTACGGCGAGGTCCCACGTGGGCTTGTGTTCTTCGATCAGCGCCCAAGCGGCCTTCTCCGCCAACGTCTTGCTTGCGCCTGCACGATGCGGATACGATCAGTCCGGGTGCAAACTGATAATGGGGCCTGCACATACCATACTTGGTGGCGCCATCTGCATCTTTGCCCTTTTCGTTCACGAGCTGGATGGCCTGCTCGTTCCAGTCCTTCTCGGTAAACGTGGTGGGCTTGTCCACAAACATCGTCCAAACAGCAACGATGGACGAGAGGAGGACGACACGCTTGACGTCCTTGCCGTGAGCAAGGATCGACTCGAGGATGCTGACGGTGCCCTTCTTCGCGGGGTCGATAATCTCGGCCGGGTCCTCGGCGTCATAATGGAATGGCGAAGCCTATCATCAAGCCATGCTCTCAGTTCCGGAGACTAGGAGACAGGTGGAAGGGATGCGCACCGTATGCGCGACAACATCTATCCCTTGAACTGCCTGGTCGAACGCGCCGGGCGCGGTGATGTCCTTGACCTCGACAAGTTCGAACTTGTCTCCGTACTTGGAAAAGGTCTCTTTGATGTGCTTGCCCGCCCGCGACACGCTGCGTACAGTTCCGCGCACGGAGTAGCCTTCAGCAAGGTAAGTCTCCGCGACCCACATGCCGACGTAGCCATTGACTCCAGAAACAAGAACCTTAGCGGGAGCGGGGACGGCTGGCATATTCAATGTGCAGATGAAGAGATCGAGGCGAAGATCAACTGGCGTATGCCTGAATGGACATTGTATGCGCGCCCGAGCCGCGTCCTTATACCTCCACTAAGCGCACTCTGGCATGCATACGGTCACCGACGGTCATGCATTCCTGACAAATGACATCAGTTTCTCGCTGACAATCGAATTATAAAGGCGCCATCGAGGGACGACCAGCGCGCACTATCACCAGCTACCAAGTCCGTACAGAATCCGAGGCAGGCTACGTGGGCTCGGGCATGGTGTCCAGCCCGAAGGAACTGGGTCTTTCTTCGAACGAACGTCTTCGCGTCTTCTGGCGCTCATGCAACAAACACCGGCGCTATCTGAACCCTATGAGATACCATATCACATACAACATTGCCATTGCAGACTGCACATGACTGGCATATTTAGACGCTATACATGGCTCTTTGTTCCTTCACTGGACCCAACCGCGCTTCTTGAAGTCCTCGAGCGAATCGCGCACCGTTTCCTCCACCGAGCGGAGTTGGAACCCATACAGGCGCTGAAACTGCGTGGTATCCACATTGATGAGTTTGGCCTTGTCCTTCGTCGAACCAGGTTTCGGGCCCGCAGGCAAGCCAGCCCAAATGGATGGTTGCAAGGCATTGGCGACATCCAGCAAGTCCTGCGGGTACACATTGAACGAGCTGACAAGCACGCGCTCGCCACCGGCTTGTGGAAGCTGTGCCGCGCGAACATGTGCGAGCGCGATGTCGCGTACGTCGGCACCGACGTAGCCCTGCGCGTCATACGCCTCTGGCCAGGCGCCGGTCAGAATCTCGAAGAGCATCTTCTGCGACTCGTTGAGCTTGTCGGCGCTGGGGACCTCGTGGATGGGCGGGCCCCAGGTGAAGGGCGGGTTGATGACTGCCAGATCCCAGGTCGGTTTGTGCTCTTCGACGAACGCCCACGCGGCCCTCTCCGCTAATATCTTGCTCGCACCTAAGCATGATGTTAGGAGTCTCGTAACATGAGTACGCTCTGCTCGTACCATACTTGATCTCTCCGCTCGCGTCCTTGCCCTTCTCGTTCACGATCTGGACCGCCTGCTCGTTCCAGTCCTTCTCAGTGAAGGTAGTCGGTTTGTCAACCTGCACCGACCAAACTGCCTGAATAGACGATGTAAAGACCACACGCTTGACGTCCTTTCCGTACTCAAGAACGGAATGCAAGATGCTGAGTGTCCCGTTCACCGCAGGATCGATGATCTCGGATGGCTCTTTGGCCAGCCAGTGAACGGGCGATGCCTGTGCAATCTACCGTCAGTGCCCGATCCTCTCAATACGCGCAGTCGAAGTCACTCACAGTATGCACGACAACCTCTATTCCCTTGACGGCCTCGTCAAAGGCGCCAGGCGCAGTGATGTCGACGATTTCAACGAGCTCGAACTTGTCTCCGTACTTGGCGAACGTCTCGCGTAGGTACGGTCCGGCGCGCTCAATGCTACGCACCGTACCGCGGACGGTGTAGCCTTCAGCGAGATACAATTCTGTGACCCAGGCGCCGATGTATCCGTTGATGCCAGAGACGAGAACCTTGGCGGGAGCAGGAACAGCTGGCATGTTAGTCGAGTGTTGAGATGTCAGGCGATTGTCGGTGTGTTGCGTTGAGGATGAAGATGTATTGCTGTAGCAAGGACCTTACACATTGTAGGTCTTAAATGTCTTTTGCGCATAGGCTCAGTTAGGGCTATAATCAGTACGGGGACGGACGGTCGTATATGCATTGTCAGACAGGTCACACAATGTTAAGCAGTGGACGTCGATAGAGTGGCGTCTTCCCGAAGGAGATGGTCGGCAGAACGTACTGTGGGCGCCAGGCCACAACCACCGCACTATCGCGGGAGAAGCGTGTGCGATCAGTCTAGCGGCTTGAAAGACGGATAGATTAGCGACGAACGAAGCAAGGGGCGCTGCTGACCAGAGCTCGGGCAGAGCCAAATGGCCGAAGATGAGTACCCCGACGAACTCACCAACGGACCATCCAAGCAACTCATTGTTCAGGCGATCGTGATCATTGCTCATGCAAACATCTCTTCTCTATTACACAGCGGCAAGTGTACAATATGGTCCAAGAAGCCGCTTCGGGGAAAGATGCAGTGATCCTGTGCTGAGCGCGTGCCGGCGACCCGCCTGTAGGTCACGCAGGATGTCGGATGCAAGGATGCGCGATGCTGCTTTCGCTCGACTGAGGGCTGAGATCAAGAGGGCGTGCGGAGAGCCAGATGGCCTCGTCGGTCGATGAGCGGCAAGTGAACCGTGCGGCTCGACCCACAGGACCCAGTCGTGGGCGCGGGCCGTATCCCAAAGGGACTTGCGTCCTGGATACGCAACGGCGTACACCGGTCAAGCGTGGGCCTCCTCAGCCAATCCGGCACAGTGGCGCGTCTGCCGCGCGACAGCAAGCGAGAGACTAGTACGTCGTAACGCCCGACGTAGTACTCGCATACTGACTCCGCACATCATCCAGCTCCGCCGCGTCGTCCTGGGATTTATAATCCCAAGCGCTCGTCCCGGCCGTACTAGCCGCCCCGAGCCCGCCGCCCGCCTCGCTCCCCCCAAAGCTGCCAGCGCGTCTCCTAAGTCTGTCCGCCTGCGCATATCCGACGCGAGCGCTCTCTGGTCCGCCGCCCATGCCTCCCATGCCCATCATACGCGACGAGCCTGCTGCGCTTGTGCCGAAGCCGACGGAGGATGGGGCGGGTTCTTGCGAGACGATGCTGCTCGCGTATGCAGAGCCGCGGTAGGGCGCTGCAGCGCCGAATAGAGGTATACCCGCGCTGTACGCCGTCGCCTGTGACCGTACATCGCTCGGGATATAGCCCAGCGCGTCGTGCGTCCGGAAGAACCCCGCGTCGAACGTCCTGTTCGGTTCGCCGCTCGGCGCGCCACCGTGCGACGAGAGATACTCGCGCGCCGAAGACTCGTGTCGGCGCGCTTTTTCGGGTGCGCGGCGGGGTTTGGAGAATTGGATCATGGAGGGTTGGAGGTTGTTGAGCGGGCCTTCGACGAGTACGCCGCGTTCTTTGTAGTGAGTGAGGAGGTAGTGCCATAGCGGATGCTACAGCGCAAATCAGCGCCGATTCACGAGGCGTAGAATAGAAAAGGATCGCACCTTCGAGAGCACCTTCGGGTTACCCAGAATGACCACCCCATACTTCGCCCTCGTAAGCGCAACATTCAACCTCCTCGGATCGTTCAAAAACCCGATCCCCTGATGCTCATTGCTCCGCACACAGCTCAGTATAATATAATCCTTCTCCCTCCCCTGGAACGCGTCCACACTCGCCACCTCGACCTCCTTATACAAATCCTTCTTCAGCGCGCCGTTGTACTGCATATAATTCACAATATAGCTCCTTTGGCCCTCGTACGGCGTGACGACGCCGATCTGTCCGGGGACAACGCCCGCGCGGAAGAACTTCGTGACGATCTTCTCGACGTTCGACGCCTCCGTGCGGTTCAGGAACGACGTGCCAGACGACGAGATCTCCTCCTGCCCGAGGTTCTGGTAGAAGAACATGGGCGTGTCGGGCTGCGGCCAGGGGAAGTCGACGTTCTTGCGCAGGCGCTCGGGCGCGGTGACGCCGTTCTGGAGCGTGCCCTCGTAGAACATGTTGCTGGGGAACTCGCTGAGGCACGGGTGCATCCGGTACTGCACCTGCAGCCGGATCGGCCGGTTGCCCAGCACGACGAGCCGCTCGAAGAGGCTCTGCGTGAGCCCGGCGCGCGCGGCTTTCTTGTTCATGATGACGGGTCCCAATTGCTGATGGTCGCCCACGAGCACGGCCTGTTTACACCCCAGCACGAGCGGGATCATACACTCCGGCTCGGCAGCCTGCGTCGCCTCGTCGATGAGCACCGTCCTGAACTTGAGCTTCGCGAGCCGCGGATCGCCCGCGCCGACGCACGTACAGCATATAACGTCCGCGGCGCCCAAGATCTCGCGCTCCGCCGCGCGCACGAGCGCCTTGTGCTTGCGCTCGTCGGCGGACGACAGCTCGCCCTGCTCGTTCTTGAGCATGATCAGCTTCTGCAGCTCCACGTGCGTCGTGCTCCGCGCGACCTGCTGATGCAGCGTCAGAAACGCGACGCTGCTGTCGAGCGCCTCGCGGCTCTTCGCCGTGAGCCGCACGACCTTCATGCCCGTCGCGTGGATCTTCTCCGTCAGCTGGTCGACGGCGACGTTCGAGGGCGCGCAGACGAGGACCTGGCCGGGGTTCATCTTCGCGAGGTGGTAGACGATCGAGGCGGAGGTGACGGTTTTGCCCGTGCCGGGGGGCCCTTGGATGAGGGAGAGCGGCTTTTGGAGAACGCTTTTGACGGCGTACATTTGGGAGTGGTTGAGCTCGGGGAGGCCGGGGGCGCTGAAGCGTTTCGGCATCTGGGTGCGGAGAGTTTGCGGTTCGAGCTCGTGGCCTAAGAGTTTGTGGTACTGTAAAGAGGGGAATACATTAGAATGAGCGTATGCGCAGATGTGTGCAGGAAAGGACTTACGATGTAAGCCGCCACGGACTTTTCGTCCACTGCGAACGTCCGCATCGCGAGCTGCATCCGATCGAAGCTCGTACTCTTCCATACAAAGTCCGCCGCAAAGTTGGTCGTCACATCGTGCGGCACGCCCTCAGTCCTCCTCAACTCGAGCCCGATCTCGTCGCTCACGTCTATACCTTGTATCAGTACATGCACATGACACCAAAAACAAACACATACTGTTCGGGACCTTGATAACATGCCCAACGCCCTCCCAAGGCTTATGCAGCTCCCCCGCATACCTCAACCTAAGCTCATCCCCCACAGCCAACCTCACCTCCCCGCTCTCCAACTTGGGCATCGCGAACCACGCGACCCTCTTCTGATTCAATCCCAAATCCCACCTGACCGCGATATCCGTCTGCGTCTGGCTCTCCTTCAGCCGCTTATCGTAGTCCGCCTCGATCTTGACGAGCGGGCCGAACACGTTCTGGTACTGGTACGCGTCCTCGTAGCGCAGCATGATGGGCGCGGGCTCGTCGTCCGCGCCCGGCGCGTCGAGGTCCGCGAGCGTCGCGCTGGCGTTGTCGCGCCACATGTCCTCGAGCCTGTTTATCTGCGCGAACGAGATCTGGCGCGAGCGCAGCTGCTCCGTCTCGCTCGGCGGCTTGACGAGCCACGAGAGGAACGAGCGATCGTCAATGAGCGGGGCCCAGAGCGCCGGGTTCCAGCTTATATCCTTGGATATCTGCGCGCAGGGCTGGCGGCAGAGGAGCACGACGACGGTGTCGGACTTTGCGGGGATAAAGCCGAGCATGAAGACGTTCTTGCTGCCGCAGTTGTAGCACTCGGGCACGGTCTCGCCCAATAAGCCGTCGGGGTGCATGACGACCTCCTTGTGCTTCGCGCGGACGAGGTGGTTGACGATGTGCGAGGCCGAGGTGTTGCCGCGCGAGTTGCAGAACCACTTGTTGCACACCGAGCACTTGACGACGCTCAGCGGGTTGTGGATCCCGCAGTACGCGCACGCGTGCTCGGGCAGCTCCGCCGGCGCATCCGCGTCTTTCAGATCCTCCAGCACGCCCACGTCGTAGTCCGCCGCTTCTGCCGGTGGGTGGTGGTGGTGAGGCTGAGGGCGGGGCGCATCAGAGACGGAGAGCGAGTCGAGGTCGAGCGTGGACGTCGCGTCGTTCCTGTTGCTCGTCGTGGCGGTGTACACAGAAGAATTGTCGTCGACTACGGAGATGGCGCCGCCGTAAGAGGACGCGGTGTCGTACTGGAAGTTGTCAAACGTGTCCATCCTTTCCGTTAGATGACCGTCTGTGGCAAGTGGCGAGCCGCGTCAATGCCGTCAGGCGCTGAGTAAATCCTCCATATCATGCTCTCATAAATACAGACACGCCCTTTGGCACCGAACGACGACCTCGTACCCATCTTACATGGCCGAGAAGCTCGCTGCGCGAAGGCTCAACGGCCGGCCAGAAGCCGAAGTCATCGTCAACGTCCGTCCGTCCAGATCGCTTCTCCGATAAAATCATCTAACGCCGTGTATACCCAGTTCGGCGACGGCCACGCTTACTCCAAGGCGAAGCTCGAGTCGGCGCTCACGTCCGTCCTCGGCGATACGAAGCAGACGAAGCAGATCAAGCACGCCAATCAGCTCAAGAAGGAAGATATCGAGCTCATCGTGCGTACTCATCTTTCTAAACTCCGATAATTATCATGCCCTTCCGCTCACGCGACGTGCCACAGGTCAGCGAGCTCGAGATCCCGCGCACCCAAGCCGAACGCGCGCTATCGCTCGCAAACGGCGACGTCCAGCTCGCCCTGCGCACACTCGTAACAGGGAGCAGCGAATGAATACTATGTTCATTGTGATACCCAAATATTCCGTGCTGTTGTACTAGTGGACAGAACAGACCGGGTCGACCGTAATGTAATAAATGTTGTAAAAGACCCCTCGAGCAATAGTCTACTACTTCGGCACGTCGCCGATGAGCGTCTCGAGCATCTGCAGCACCGCCTGGCTATCCTTGCTGGCCTGCCCGAACGCGTTGCCCGCAACCTCGTTGAACGCCCTCGAGGTACTCGTGAGGGGCAACATCTCCATCGGCGCCTTCTTTGGCTCGCGGCCTGCGGCCCACGCCCTGCTACCTGGCCTGGCCTGCGCAGCACGATGCACCAACGTCCCGCCAACGTCCGCGACGCGCACCTCTGTGTCGACGTCCTTGATACCCCGCCCGAGCGTAGGCGCGCGATTGAGGCTATGCGCGACGACCCTCACATTCGGCGCGCCGTCCGTCCTGCGCTTGCCGAGCTCGAGTTGAGCCTTGACACCACCGAACACGACCTGGTTCTGGTTCGCGGCCCCATCAATGTCGATATAGCGCGCCGGCTCGGGTTTGCTGAGGAAGAAATGGCTGAGCGGGACAGGCGGGGCGTATGTGAGACCCGCAGCGCGGTGGGGCTGCGCTGCGATGGCCACGCCGCCGTGTGCGCCGCTGTACCGCTCGCGCGCGACGGCCGCCATAAACATCCTCCGCGTCTTCCCGCCGTCCTCTCCCACAGCGAGCGCGATCATATCGGCCGGCGTGTGCCGCGGCGGGTCCTTGTGCACGATCCCATTGGCCGCCTCCACGCGCGCGATGAACGCGTCCGCCTTTGCGCGCTCCGCGACGAAGCGCTTGAAGCGCGGGCGGAGGGCGCGGACGTCGTGTAAGTAGCGCGCGAAGCGTTCGGGCGAGAGTGCGTCGGGGTTGATGTCGGGTAGACTCTTGGAGATAGAGTTGAGTTCGCGCCGCTCTGCGACGAGCGCCTGGAATGCGGCCTGCTCGGCGTCGGGACCCGGCCCGTGTTTCGCCTCTGCGGCCGCGAGCGCCTCCTCGACAGTCAGCGTGCTGGGGCTACCGTGCTTCGCCGTTCCCTTCAGCTGCACACGTGGCGGTGGTTTCGCAGGCGAGAACTCCGAGTCGATGCGCCATTCAGAGCGTGCGGGCCCGGCGTTGACTTGGCCGAGCCAGTGCGAGCGCGGGGCGGGTGCGGGCTGCGTCTCCCAGCGCTCAATGTAGCGCGCTTCGGTTGCGGCCGGCTCCCATTCGGTTTGTTGGTCGATGGAGTCCACGGCCTGGACGGTGAGCGGGATACCGTGCCTGCGCGGGTGCAGCGCCCGCTTTAGGCCATAGTTCCCGCGCGCGGCGTGTGCGGGGGGTGCGGTGTAGACCTGTCCGAGCGCAGGGTCAAAAGACGCGAACTTTGACGATTTGAGTATCTTCGCGAACTGCGACGGCGCGGACGAGGCCATGGTCGCTGTCTCTCTCCAAGCTCACAACGTCAAAGCGCTGGCATCAGACGCGCGCCGCGGCAACTCCCGGCCCGCGCATAAAATCGCCATCTTCTCGCCCTCGAGCGTTTCTTTCACAAACAAGCACGGCGTCCAATTACTGTCTGCGCCCTATCGCTCGTCGATAACAACAGGCGCAGACGGTCCAGACAAACGTCGGAGAGCGACTCTTTTTCGGAAGAGCGCAGCGCCTCAAAAACAATCTATGCTGACCGCCGCTCCCGCTGGTTGAGCGGCAAGGACGCTGGATCACCTGGAGGCGCCGACATCCCTACAACTAATCTCTCATTTTGCTGTGTGATGACACGTTTGGAGGTGGTGGAGTACGGTAACAAGGTGAGCGTCGGCGTTTTGATCGAGTACGTGCTACGCGAGGTTCGGAGGGCGCCCGGAGGAAGAAAACCCTGGTAACGGGACGCGCCCGCCCCCGTTCTTTCACGAGGCCGGGCTAGCAGCGCTTAGCACGAAAGGCCGCAGCGGTCCCCTCTTTGTTGGAGAAGACCGGGCGGCGGCGGGGCGCGCGTGAGAGGATAAAGGCGAGTCTGACGGGCGCCCTCCGAATATCGTTGCAAGTACCCGAATGGCCCGAACGTCGCGCTGATTCCAATAATTCTATTTGCAGACTGTCGATCCGGGACTGCGGAGGGGGTGTAATGCGGCGACGGGGGTGGAGGGCGCTGTCGACGTAACTTTCGGTTCGGATAAAGTAGATGTAGTAATGGGAAACGACGCCTGTTTGAGAAATCTAGACTTGTGTGATTGCATGTTTCGAAAGCGAAAGGCTGTTTGAACCGGACGTCCACCACTGTCGACGATGCAGGGCCTGCTCTCGCCGACGTCGCCCAACGGCTCCATCCACCACAGGCCATACCACTACCAGCGCCCAAACACGCCCTCCCCGTCCCACAGCCCGACCCTGCCGCCCGCGAACGCGCCCGCCTACCTCCACCCCACTCCGCCCGTCCGCCCGCCACTGGCCCACCTATCCACGCCCTCGGATTCCAAAGACCAGAAAGAGGATACCGGGCCTTTAGTATTAGGCGTACCGCTGAAATATGTCTCGTACGTGCAAGATTAAATCAACATAGAGGGTAATGAATTTAGAGTGTGTGCAGGCTGGTGACGCTCGCGGTGCAAAACGCGGCGCTGTCGATCGTGATGCACTACTCGCGGGTGTCGACGCCGCCGTCGCTGTCCTACTCGCCCGCCTCGGCCGTGTTCCTGAACGAGCTCCTCAAGCTCCTCATCTCCTTCGCCGTCGCCGCCCGCCACACGCCCCTCCGGCCCCTCATCCGCGACGTCTTCTCCCCCGACAGCTGGAAACTCGCCATCCCCGCTCTATTATATGTCGTGCAGAACAGCCTGCAGTTCGTCGCGATCGCCAATCTGCCCGTGGCCACGTTCCAGGTCACGTACCAGATGAAGATCCTCACCACCGCCGCCTTCTCCGTCGCCCTGCTCCGCCGCAGGCTCAACGCGATGAAGTGGGCCGCGCTCGTGCTGCTCTCGCTCGGCGTCGCGATCGTGCAGATTCAGCTGCAGATGAGCCCCAGCAGCAGTCAGCCGGCCCAGCCCGTCGTCGGCTCTGCGCACGAGTACAGGCACGTCATGAGCCCCGCGCGCGGCTTTGCGGCCGTAGCGGCGGCGTGCTTCACTTCGGGCCTCGCGGGCGTGTACTTTGAGATGGTCCTCAAGGGATCCCGCGCCGACCTCTGGGTCCGCAACGTCCAGCTGTCTTTCTTCTCGCTCCTCCCCGCGATGCTCCCCGTCCTCAGCCAATCACTCTCGGCGCCCTCTCCGACCGCACCAACAGGCTTCGCGAACCCGCTCCGGAACTTTGGCGGCTGGGCATGGGCAACGGTACTGGTGCAAGTCGCAGGCGGGCTCGCAACGGCGCTCGTGATCAAATACAGCGACAACATCCTCAAAGGCTTCGCGACCTCCCTCTCCATCGTGCTCTCCTTCCTCGCCTCCGTCGCGCTCTTCGACTTCCGCATCACGCCCTCCTTCTGCCTCGGCGCCTCGACCGTCCTCGCGGCGACATGGCTCTACAACCAGCCCGCAGGCCGCGAGCCCCGCGTCCTCGCGCGCGCCGTATCAGCCACAGGCGCAGTCAAAGTCAAGTCCCGACCGCCGAGCTGGGCCACGAGCCCCTCTGAACCTATACTTGGTGAATTCGGCGGCAGGACGCAGAGCTTCGACGAGCTGGGGTTCGTGGTGGAAAAGTCCGGCGGGGCGGGCGTGCGGATAGGCGATATCACGCCGCCGCCGGTGGGGCCGAGGGTGAGTGTGACGGACGTGAGCGCCGTGGGCGCCGGAGGGGGCATGACGGCGACGGAGAGGTATCTGAGTGCGCCGTATGGGAGCCCGATGCCGAGTCGTACGCCGAGCCCGATGGGCAGCCCGTTGCCGAGCCGCGCGCCATCGCCGAAGCCTGGGAGCGGGTTGGGACTCGGTGCGCGCGGGAGGTGAAAAGCCTAGCGTTGTGTATGGAAGCTTTCGTTTCGGCCCGCTCGCTGCGACTATACCCTTCTGCGACAGCCAGCCAGCGCGAGCCAGCCCAGCCATGTTTATTACCGCACTCAATACTCATCTCGCTGCATTCCCTTTCTTGCATCTTCTTCACTCCTTTTTTCGTTACTTAGCATGCATGGCTGCGTACTATAGAGCCGCCCCCCACAGACGATGTCCCTCGCACGACAAACAACTGTTATCGTTATGTTTATACGTCTCATTCGCACGGTGGACCGCTTTTACATCACCTTCGACTCTTCCTCTTACTCCAATGCTACTCGACCTCCCTCCTCTCGACCGCCCCGCAACCCCCCAAACCTCATGTACCCCGCCC